CAAGAAGTTGGCTGCACGTGCTAACGTGATTTTTGCCAAACTTGTGTCCCCCTCGAAAACAAAACCGACGGGTCTGAGCGTTTATCAAAAAAAAACTGAGTTGCCAGTAAATTCTAGTACCATTTTTGATGTAAGGGTGTGTAGTACTTTACAGTTAATAATTATACACTAAGTTTCTCCACTGTCTTCTGTCTTTTGCAAGTATTCTAGCTTCTGCTGCTGGAATTCCTCTCCTTTATAATGTTTCTTCCATAGATTTGTCCCACTTTGTTTTAGGTCTTCCTCTCGATCGACCTGATACCATCCTTTCCTGCCATATTCTTTTCACTTGCCTAGTCCTTCATCCGGTTTATGTGTCCAAACCATCCCAGCTGACTTTTTTCGATATCCGTTGTTACTGCTTCTACTCCCAGATCCTGTCTTATTGGTTCGTTTCTTATTTTATCTGCTCTCGTGACGCCTCCGATCCTCCTCAAGAATTTCATCTCCAGCGTTCGCAGTCTTTGTTTCATTCTCTTGGTCAGCATCCATGATTCTGATCCCCATAAAAGAACAGGTAAGAAAACTGGTTTATATATCTTCAGCTTCGTATCGAGCGATCGTTCCTTTTTGACTACGAATGTTTTATTTAGTTTCGCAGCAGCATTTACTCTATCATTTAGATCACTTTCCTGTCTTCCTTTACAGTCTACTATGGTTCCTAGATACTTGGATTCACTTACGCATTCTGGTCTACGTTCTCCTACTAGTAGGGCGGCATTGTCTTCGTGTCTCGCTATTGCCATTATCTTACTCTTATCTGTGTTTATTTTCATGTTCCTGGACATGAGAGCTTGGTCCCATATGGTTAGATTTGTTTGTAGATTTCTTTCACGATCAGCAAATATGACAAGATCGTCTACAAATGCGCGCTCGGCTATTGTTACCGGTTGTAAGTGTTTAAATCCTATAAATAGTTTTTTGGTGTCGTGTCTTGTTTCCAACATTATTTCATCCATAACTAAGATGAATAGTATCGGGCTCAGTACACTCAGTCCTTGCTCCGTTGTGAATTCATCCGTATCCAATCCACCCACGCGGACATAATTTCGGATTACCTCATAAACGCTTCTGATACCTTGAATTAGCTTTGTTCCCACTTTTCTTTTTTGTAGTATGGCCCAAATGCTATTTATGTCCATCCTATCAAAGGCCGTCTCTAAATACAGAAAAGCTACGTATGCCTCTCTGTTTTGATCCAGAGTCTTTGCAATCACTTCTTTGATGGTAATGATGTGGTCCTGGGTGCTATATCCTTTCCGGAAGCCGCTTTTGGGAATGTATAATCCCTTGTCCGATTTTATTGGTCAGTTTGTTTTCCAAAATCCTTTCAAACAGCTTGGCTACGACGCTCAATAACGTGACTCCTCTAGAATTTGTACATTCCTTTGGATCTCCTTTTTTAAAAATCGGCACCACGATTCCAACTTCCTCGTCTTTGGGTACCACTCCTGTATCTCATATACTCACAAAAAGCTCTAATTGTGTTTCCATGCATCTTGGTCTCATTGTTTTAATCATCTCTGGCTTGACATTATCATGCCCTGCTGCTTTACCCATTTTCATCTTTTTGACTGCTCCTACTACTTCCTCCACTTCTATCGTCTTTACTCTGTTCATGAATGTAGTGGATACTGGGATTGTTCATTCGATGGTTCGTCATTAGCGTTAGTTAGTAACTGGTAAACGTATTCCTTCCATCTTTTTTTATGTCTTATTTTTCCGTTAGTGTATTTCCATCCTTTGCCTATCTTGAGCTTTGTGGTACGCCTCGGTGGACCCGTTGGCCTTTTTTGTGTTCCTCTACGTTCGGCTATCCATACACGACACACACGCATTACCGTCATTGCAGTACAAATAATACGGCGGCCAATTTCGCAATAGGACAAACCAACATTCTACCTCTGTCAATGTCTCTAACATGGTGGCAATTGGTTATGTTTAGCACTAGTAAATGAAGCGACAATAATTAAAAGTATCTGTACTACTCAGCCATCATTCTAGCATTCTAGTCTATGTTCTCCTACTAGTGGGGCGGCATTGTCTTCGTGTCTCGCTATTGCCATTATCTTACTCTTATCTGTGTTTATTTTCATGTTCCTGGACGTGAGAGCTTGGTTCCATATGGTTAGATTTGTTTGTAGATTTTTCACGATCAGCAAATATGGCAAGATCGTCTGCAAATGCGCGCTCGGCTGCTGTTACCGGTTGTAAGTGTTTAAATCCTATTAATAGTTTTTTGGTGTCGTGTCTTGTTTCCAACATTATTTCATCCATAACTAAGATGAATAGTATCGGGCTCAGTACACTCAGTCCTTGCTCCGTTGTGAATTCATCCGTATCCAATCCACCCACGCGGACATAATTTCGGATTACCTCATAAACGCTTCTGATACCTTGAATTAGCTTTGTTCCCGCTTTTCTTTTTTGTAGTATGGCCCAAATGCTATTTATGTCCATCCTATCAAAGTACAGAAAAGCTACGTATGCCTCTCTGTTTTGATCCAGAATCTTTGCAATCACTTCTTTGATGGTAAAGATGTGGTCCTAGGTGCTATATCCTTACCGGAAGCCGCTTTGGGAATGTATAATCCCTTGTCCGATTTTATTGGTCAGTTTGTTTTCCAAAATTCATTCAAACAGCTTGGCTACGACGCTCAATAACGTGACTCCTCTAGAATTTGTACATTCCTTTGGATCTCCTTTTTTGAAAATCGGCACCACGATTCCAACTTCCTAGTCTTTGGGTACCACTCCTGAATCTCATATCCTCACAAATAGTTCTAATAGTGTTTCCATGTATACTAAGTGACATATAAATCCGAACACCCAGTTTAAATGGCTTTATTTTAATAAAAGTTGGTGAATGTATTTACCCTACTGTAAATAACAAGTGAACAAATTTTCAGCCTTATCAGTTGGACATTCCGGTTTATTATACTGCTTTTTTTAATTCACTAACGCTCTAAAAATGAATATTTCAGCCGCAGTAAAGAATCAACGTTGGCGGATTTTGGTTCTTGACATCCTTTACGATCGGTTACGATGCCTAGAGTACGGAGACCTGTACGATTTCGTCAACTTAGTGAGTTTGATAGGGGCCGTATAGTGGGACTTCGGGAAGCTGGACTTTCTTTTCGGGCAATTGCAGTTAGAGTGCAGAGAAGTGTAGACACTGTGGTTAGGTGTTGTCAGGCATGGCTTCGAGAAGGCCGTACTTAAAGAGCAAGGGGCACTGGACGCCGCCGTAGAACAACAGATCGTGAAGAGCGCCGCCTAAGATTATTGGCCTTAAGGGACCGTTTCTCCACTACCAGGTCCATTGCAAATGAATGGTTTGCAGAACACGGAAGACCTATTGGCATGCGAAGTGTTTACCGACGAATGAGAAGTTTTGGCTTGTTTTCATACCGGCCACACTGGGTCCTCCCTTTAACTCGAGAACACCGACGTAATCGCCTTAAGTGGTGCAGACAACGGTCACTCTGGGATCAGGAATGGAACAGTATTGTCTTTAGTGACGAGTCTCGATTTTGTTTAGGCATGCACGATGGTCGTGCCAGGGTTAGAAGGCGACGTGGTGAAAGGAGGAATCCACAGTTTTTTGTTGAAAGACATGTTCATCACACTGTTGGAGTTATGGTTTGGGGTGCTATAGCTTATGGTTCCAGGTCACCTTTAATCTTCATCAGCGGTAACATGAACGCGCAGCGTTATATCCACGAAGTTCTAGAACCCCATCTTTTACCCTATCTTGACACCCTGGCAGATCCAACTTTCCAACAAGATAATGCCTGACCACATGTTGCAAGAGTCACAATAGACTTCTTTCAACATAATGATGTCACATTGTTACCATGGCCACCAAGATCTCCCGACTTATCCCTAATTGAGCACGTGTGGGATACGATGGGTAGGAGATTGCTCAATTTGCAACGTCCTCCTCAGACTCTAGAAGCACTTCGAGAGGAGTTGGTGGTTGCCTGGAATGAGATACCACAGGAGGACATTGACCACCTGATCAGAATCATGCATAGGCGCGTTGGAGAATGCGTAGCACATCAGGGTGCATCCACACATTATTAAAGGTCAAAGGGCTTTAAAGCAGTGCAATCATTTTGAAATTTTTATCATTTATTAAAATAAAACCATTTAAACTGGGTGTTCGGATTTATATGTCACTTATTATATCTTGGTCTCATCGTTTTAATCATCTCTGGCTTGACATTATCATGCCCTGCTGCTTTACCCATTTTCATCTTTTTGACTGCTCCTACTACTTCCTCCATTTCTATCGTCTTTACTCTATTCATGAATGTAGTGGATACTGGGATTGTTCATTCGATGGTTCATCATTAGCGTTAGTTAGTAACTGGTAAAAGTATTCCTTCCATCTTACTTTCATGTCTTTTTCTTCCGTTAGTGTATTTCCATCCTTTGCCTATCTTGAGCTTTGTGGTACGCCTCGGTGGACCCGTTGGCCTTTTTTGTGTTCCTCTACGTTCGGCTATCCATACACGACACACACGCATTACCGTCATTGCAGTACAAATAATACGGCGGCCAATTTCGCAATAGGACAAACCAACATTCTACCCCTGTCAAAGTCTCTAACATGGTGATAATTTGGACGTCTCCGAAATCGAGGCATTTGGTTATGTTTAGCACTAGTTAATGAAACGACAATAATTAAAAGTATCTGTACTACTCAGCCATCAGAAACTGCTTTCTTAACAAAAACTAAGAGATAGCATTTTAACAAAGGTAGACAAAAATAAAGATAAGACGTTGACATTGTTGCCACAGCATGCATTAAATATAGTCATTATGTTGTCAAAAAAAAAACAAGTTGAAGAAATTATTTTTTCTGGGTGTAACACTTCTTAGTATACGAGTATAAACATATATAATATGTGTAGAGATCATACTAGATGCTAACTTGAGCACCTTTTGTATTCCAGGAAGTGCGTCCAGTGGTAGTGCTTCCAGTGGTACCACATACAGACGACGAAAAACCTGTATAAGTGCAAGAGAGAGAAACCTAAGAAGACTGGAAAGTAACGAGAGAGAAAGAATGAGGATGCATTCGTTAAATGATGCATTTGAAGTAAGTAAATATCACGCCTTTTCAATGCTATGTCATCACCGACCGGTTCCTCGAATACCAATGGATTAGCTATTGAGGAGAATTTCAATTAACATACTGCGATCTCAGGGTTGATCTACAGAGTATCTCAAAGAAAAGCTCGCACACCTACTTGTGACTTTCTTGGTATATTTTGGGAAAAACGCTCGGACACGTGTTGTTCCGGAAGATGTTGTATCCAGTATACAACTTCTTCCAGATCAAGTGGTTGTACACGCGTTAAGGAATACCTCAGTACCGATTGCCGGGTGGCGGTACTCGGACAAGTCCGCCAACGAACCACTTTAAGTCTATTTAATATTATTAACACGTAAAAAGAAGGTGGTAGACAAGGACCAGTCGACCGAGGCGGTACCACCCGCTAGCTTTTCCCAGGGTGTCTTATAAATGTTTTCACACCTAAGCTAGGCAGTCGGTTATCTTCCAAAACAAAGAAATTAATGATGATGGATCCCTCGAGCAGCGACACACCCCCATATTTTCTAATTTTCAGATTTTCCAGGAAGTTTCCATTAACTTTTGTATGATAAGCTTTATACATATCGTTGTGAAGCTATTTAAGTTTATAATAAAATTCTAGAAATTGTGTTAATAATGGATTATATCATAAGAATAATAATCAATATAGTTCCCATAGTAACAAGGCTTTACTCAAAAATAAAAAAAAGTCTCCCAGCGTTAAAGAAACAAAAAACAACTCACAGTTTACATGCATATTAAAGGTAGAGTAAAAATTAATCTGCCGTAGAGAGGTTGGTCAATGTGTTAAAAACTCCAGGAAAATCTAATGAATGAAAAAAAATGGGGGTTTCCAAGTGTAATGCAAACCTTATTTTTGAATTACCTTGTATGGCTATAGATGAAAATAGGTCCCCCTAAAAGTCAACATTGACATCTCCGAGTGTTTTTATCTAATATACCAGGACAGTCACAAATAGCGGTGCGATCTTTTCGTTGGGTCACCCTGTATGTTGAATAACCTGGCAGCCATTGTTAAATGAGGCGGCCAAATGACCACGACTTGGTTCGCATGACCTGATTTTCTATACACACCTAGGTACCTAATACGTAGTATCCCGCATGCAAACTGAGGAACATACAGGGTGTCCCAGAAGTCGACGTCAAGCCGAAACCGGGTGATAGGCAAAGTCATAATAGCTATGCAGGTTCATGTACCCATCTTTCTTAAATGTGGTCTCATCTGACCATAAAATGTTTTCAAAGAACCGTGGATCTTCCCTGTGTCTTTCTAACATTGTGCGACAAAAAGCAACTCGGGGCTCATAATTCCGGGGTAGAAGAGCTTGAACACGCTGTCGTGGTATGGATGGAGCACGTTTTTTTGCAAGATTCTATGGGCTGTACTTTTGGGCACACCTGTTTTTAGTTCTATTGCACGCACTGAAGTACTCGGGTCTTCTTCGACAGCTCCTAGCACCACGTCTTCCTAAGGATTGAAAGATCTTCCCTCACCGTGTGATTGGTTTGGTAGTTGGCCCTCTGAGAACAGTAAGCGGTGCACATTTGTGAACACTCGATGATCTGGATGACGAGCTGCATTCGGGTACCTCCCACAGTAAAATCTCGCTGCAGCACTAGCGTTGCATCTGCATTCCCGATAAATGAGGTGCATGTTAGCATATTCTTGTACGGTGTACACGGACATAGCGGCACTGCACAATCACACTATCAAAGACAGTCTAAGGAAAGCAAATGTTGTTTTGAAGAGCAATTAAACAGTCCAAATCCAAATCACAAGCGATCAACAGTCCAGTTCACGAATCCAAAATTAGTAACAGTACGAAATCAACAAGCACGAACATGTAAAGATGCGCAGTAAACGACGGAGTACTGATCGGTATCAAAGTGTGCAATAGCAAGTAAGTGATGTGCTTCATCCATACCACATACAGCGTGTTCAACCTCTCCTGCCCCGGGATTATGAGCCCCGAGTTGCTTTTTGTCGCACAATGTTAGAAAGACACAGGAAAGATCCACAGTTCTATGAAAAAATGTTATGGTCGGATGTGACCACATTTAAGAAAGATGGGTACATGTACCTGCATAACTTACCCGAGTGGCACGTAGCAAACCCACATTTGATGAGAGAAGATAAATCTCAATATCGCTCCAAGATAAACCATTGGACAGGAATTTTAAATGGTAAAATAATCGGTCCGTTTGAGTTCCCAGAGACTTTGACTGCTGAAGTTTATTTGGGTTTTTTGAAAAATCATGTACAAAATTTATTGGTGGACGTGCCACTGAGTATTTACAGGGACATGTGGTTTGAGCATGATGGCTGCCCAGCGCACTATGCACTCTCAGTGAGAGAGTATCTCGATCAAAACTTTCCAGACAGATGGATAAGGCGGTCTGGTACAATACCGTGGCCAGTCCGATCACCTGATTTGAATCCTTTAGATTTTTTTGCTGGGGAACTGTAAAAGAAAAAGTGTATTTCAAGCCGATTCAAAATGTAGCTGAGCTACGGCAAAGACTATTGGAAGCAGCTGAGTTTGGTAATAACCGTGGATTCGCTCGTTTAATAACCCGATCTTTTTTAAGAAGATGCCGAGCGTGTATTGCGGCTGAAGGAAAACAGTTTGAGCATTTGCTGTAAAGGTAAATCATCACCAGCAGCATTTTGAGGCCCACTGTTGTGCAAACAGTTATCCTTAAGGGTCCTTGTGCGTTTTCATAATCGCTGTTTAATTAGGAAATTTTCATCAGTTTTTTTTCAAATAAAAATTGTGCATAAGTTAACAAGTAATCTTCTAAGTGTTATACCATTTTGGAATCGTTACTAAATGCGCCAACTTTTAAGGTTACTTGCCAAACTCTCGTAGTACATTTTTTTCCAGTACAGCCAGTTAAAGTTGAGCAAAGTTTTACTTTGGAATACTTGGTTGGGAAATAAGTGGCAATTTTTCCTCAACGAGAAAAGTTGGCAGTAAGGTTGAGATACCAGTTTGAAGATGCATTATTCATCATTACATTGTAAAAATAAAATCCAAAAAAGTTAATATTTGTAGTAACAGGAGTTGACAGACTGCCGTAGGGTGTGAAATTTCTATATTTTTTTCAAAGACCTATAATTTTCAAAACACATACATAAAATTTTTTTAAATATTTTTCTGATAGCTGTTATGACTTTGCCTATCACCCAGTTTCGGCTTGACGTCGACTTCTGGGACACCCTGTATAAAGACAAACGTGACCTTAACTTCTAGACTATACATGTTGCATCTTTGATGTATTATGTATAAAGTGTTAGCAAATTTCAATTATAATACACCATTTCAACGGCAATTCTGTGAAGTTTGTTCCATTCATCGATATTTTATGTTTCAGCAACTTAGAGAAGTAATTCCACACATCAAAATGGAGAGGAAGCTCTCGAAAATAGAGACCTTAACGTTAGCGAAAAATTATATAATGGCTCTAACGAATGTGATATGTGAAATGAGAGGCGAAGAAAAACATTACACGTAAGTATTCATTTCAAATCTCTTAGAATACGTGCAAAGCTTTTTATTGGAAAAATGAAGTTCATTATCACGCTTTGCTGTAACGAAGAGATTAAGTGGTTGGTCGATGAAAGACATGTCAGCATAATTTCACTGTGCCATGTAGTATAGAAGGAGTTGGCAATGTAAACAAAAATATGGCAGATCTCTGTTTTCATTAATATAACTTGTTGGAATTCATTTTAAGCTAATGGTGACCCAGTGTTTCTTGGACGTACTATACAGGGTGCAATTTAATTGATTGCTAAAATACAGGATACGATTTCTTAGCTCATTTTAAGAAGAAAAGTTTATATGAACATATGTCCTAAACCTCTTAACTTTTGAGCTACAGGGTGTTAAAATTTTAAGAAAAAATTCGTTGTTATGTAAATGTTTCTTCCTAAAATGGGCTAAGGAATCATATCCGATATTTTTGGCCATCAATTAAATTACACCTGTACAACAGTAGGAAAGCAATCCTACAAAACGACGTACTAGCTGTCAAAATTGTACAATTTTGTACTTTTATAACTCAACAACTACTTACGAAATTATCATGGTTATGTCACAATACAAAAGTTAGTTACCAATCCCAAATAAAAAAGTTTAGTCGGTTATCTATCATTATTACAATGCACATATATGCACAAAAAAAAAAATAATCTGCAAACCCCAACCGCAGCGACCTACAGAAAGTTGGCTTTTCCATGTACCACAACACGCGGTGTCATTCCATATCTACTCAAAAATTCATACTTCAGCACACACTTTCCCATCAATTTCTGTCTCTGCAGAAACGTATTTCAGTGTGAAAAATGTGATTTCGCCTGTTGAATGAAACATAGATTATTCAAATAACTTCAAAGAGTAACTGAAACAGCTAATTTATCTGCAAAACGGCCACAGATACATCTTCATTATGACCTAATTAAAATTCTCTCATTACAGAGGGTCTGCTGAAAAAAAATATTATTGCCACTAGAGAACGGCATAGCTTATTCTTATTTACCTCACTGTCCAACAACATGTCACTGCATAAAATACAGGGTGTATAAAAGTTGCATGATAAAAGAAATAGTTGAAGGTGAATTTTATATAGATGACTTATAGTGTATGCATTTTTTTTGACGAGATCTACAAGCTGTTAAAATAAATGACTCAACTTTGAAATCACCCCGTATTTCAAGCAGGCAATTCATCAGAGTAATGACTGGAGTCAAGTTTGATCCTGCCCTTCATATTGATAGGCTTTTTACTGTTTCTGTCTAAGGGATTTCTTGCAAAGTTTTATAAGCGATACCTGGTACCTGGGAGATCCAATTGATTCAGCAGATTATTATATGGGTGATAAAAAGATTTAAATTGAATACATCTTTATAATAATATATAATAATAGTGTTTACTGGGGAAAAATACAATTTAGGAACAAAAGAAGAAAGCATATTCCGCGATAAATACAGGGTGGCGCATCGAAAACGAAACAGACGCATTTAGTGGCACCCTGAAAAATCTTAAATGGAAAGGGGGGTCGAGTGATACCTTATTTTAAAGGTCCTTCAATTCCCTTTATAATGATGTAAAATACATGAGCTTCAGTTCAGTAGTTTGGTCAAAACAATTGCAAATTATGTACTAAATTCCTATTTAAAATAAGTACGAGATATTTCCTTATCTTTCTTCAAGAAATAACTTTTTTGCCACAAAAAAAAACGCTCCAATAGCTATTTTCAACAACAAAATGATAAACAAACCATGGGCGTAGTGAAGAAAAGGATTTACTTATTATGTTAATTCTTTCAGTCAAATTTCTTCTGAAAGTAGTACAAACTAGTCTGATGTACCTATTAAAGTCTACTTTAAGCTTTAAATCAATAAATCTTCAAAACTACTGAACTGAAGTACATTAATTCTATATCATTATAAAAGGAATTGAAAGTCCTTTAAAATAAGGTATCACTCGAACCGAACACCTTTCCATTTAAGAATTTGGGGGTGGTGTCACCCCCGCTTAGGAGGCCAAACTTGTGTCCCCCTCGAAAACAAAATCGACGGGTCTGAGCGTTTGTCAAAAAAAACTGTCCTGCCAGTAAATGCGTCTGTTTCGTTTTCGATGCACCATCCTGTATACACAACACCACAAGAAGCAAATGCTTGTGCGTGGGGGAATATATTCATTGAGGTCGTACACTTTCAAATTATCATTGCCCTGCTAGCACGTTTTCAGCTTCATGATGTTGAATATTTACAAAACATAATGATAAAGGCTTCTAGAATATACATTTTTTTTTAATTTTAAAAACCTACATATAAAAAACAGAGAAATAAAAGTATTACCTTACCAACGGTTTACTTATTTGTTAAAACCTCTATAATCTTTTTTAATAGATACAAAAGACAAAGAAACTGTAATGAACTTTATCTATTAAAAAAAAAAACAATAGTTGAACATTTATATTATATACTTGACTTTGAAGTAGAGTCATTAATTTTCAGATAATGATTGTAGAAGGAAGATAAACCAAAATATGTGTGTAAAAATAAAAAAAAAAATTTTACCTTGTTTTATAAAGTATCCTCCCGACAAGTATTTCAGTGCGGATCTGTATTTGATCGTGAGGTCCCCTGTGAGGTCTTAAGTCACCTGATTCACGAGCCCGTTGTACTACATTAACAAAGTCACGAGGGGTTGGTTGCACTCGATTGGGAAACCGATCCGCATAAACATGTGCCATTTTTTATTTCGTTTGAGCCACGCAACAGACACCACTATTCACACGCGTTACCGACTGACACTGACTGTATGTATACAACTGAATAAAATAATTGTAAAAACATCGTTCCAAATTCTTTCGCTTTTTTGTTTCCGATGCGATGAACCGATAAGGCGGATTATATCCGTTGTTGCCAAACACGAGCACATGATATTATTATTGAGACAGGGCGGTACTCAAACTTCCAAAGGGCTATAACTTTGTTACTTTAATTTTACCAGAAAAATGGTAAAGGAAAAAAACATTTCTTTTGATCAGATCTACTCACTGTTAAAATAAATGACTCAACTTCGAAGTCACCCTGTATAATAAAATCAATAACATTCTTTTTAAATATGAACATGACACACTAAATGTAAGTGTAATATTTTACCTGCCTTCTATAATTCTGTGAACTTGTTCTTGTCCCTTTTCAAGTAAGAATTTTTTATATCTATAAATGTTGGTAACGAAGATATTTTTTTTATTTCATCAGACAGGAAGTTATATAACCGACTGGCGAGATGCATATAGCATTTTTTTCCTATTTTTTTGGTAGACATAGGAGTCCTGCTTATTTGATTAATTTTGTTTCCAGTCGAATAAGTATATTCTATCGGTACTAAAGTATGTTTGTTTTTAAATTGATATACCAATATACTGAACGAAAACAATTGCCGAAGATCTAGAGTTTCTGCGTCTCTATACAGCTGTCCTGATGGATAAAGTTTGTTTTTATTATAAATTATTTTAAAAAACTGTTTTTCTAAAACCTCAAGTTTTGCTAAGTGAACGGTTAGAGCGTCACCCCAAGCTAATAAACCATATTTCAACCCAGACTCCACCAGAGTTTGGTAAATCATTTTTATGGTCTTGTGATCCATAGGATCAATATGATAAATCCATTTCATGTACGAATGAAAAAGTACGCCCAGATATTTGATTTTGTTAGTAGATTCTATTTTAAAGATTTCGTGAGTGCTTTCTGGATTTAGTTTTATCTCAATAGCAGTATAATGAGGAAGCCTTCTTTTATCATTGGAAAATGGCATAAACATGGTATTTTGGTAATTTATAGTGTGACACTTATGGTTGGACCAATCAGAGATTATAACTTAAGATTATACCACGACGATTCATCTAAATAAAGCAAAACAAACGACAGCTCCCTCTATTCGTAAATCTACTAAGCTGTTCACGTATAAGTTAAATAACAAAGGACCCAAAACTGTACCTTGAGGTACACCGCATATACTTGTTTGTTCTTCACTGAGTAGAATTTATCTCGACTATCTGTTTTCTTCACTCAAAATAACTTTTCAATTGGTTAAATGTACTACCTCTGATACCAGAATCATGCACAACACCCAACAGGTGATTATGGTCTACTGTATCAAATGCTTTTGCAAGATCCAGGAAAACACACAGAGCTGGCAAGATTGCATCTTGTGTGGAACTGTTTGTTCTGAATCCGAACTGATTTTTATCGAGTAGATAATGTTTTTCAAAGAATTTCATGAGCCTATGTTTTGAAGCATTTTCATAAATTTGGCAAATACGGTAGCGAGTATAATGGGTCTATAACTTGTAACTTCTAAAGGATCGCCTGACCTGTGCATAGGTTTTATTATACCCAGTTTGAAAATATCTGGATATACCCCAACTTGTATACTTAGGTTTATTAAGAAGCTTGATGGTTTAGAAGTTTTTTTACTAACTCAGCCTGAATACCATCGAAACCAGGGCATTTGTTGTTTTTAAAGGTTTGTATAATGTTTAAAAGCTCATTTTCTGGGACAGGTTCCATTAAAATGGAGTTTAGCAAGCGTTTTTTAGGTGGTTTGTTGGTGTCTGGTTTGCGAATTTTATTTGCCAGCTCTTTTCCTATATTGGCGAAAAAGTCATTCAACGCATTTGCTAGGTCTAAGTCGGTATGCAGTATCTCATCACCAATATTGATTTTACTTATATTATTAGTCGGTTTTCAGGAAATGCAAATTTTTTCTACCATTTCCCACATGATATTTATACACTTCTTGTACATGAGAAATGACAGAAGTGTCTCGGTTTTAAGGCGGATAAAATGAGCCTTACAGTTACCCCGGTAGGCAGAACCGGCAATTGCATGTACGAGTATATTTTGTAACCCGAAGACTGTTACAGTTTCAGAAAAAGAATGTTAGGCTGTTAACGTGTTGAAATACAGACAAGAGGTCTCAGCTTATTAAGACAAATATGATTTGCGAATATTTATAAACTATGGTCCAAAAATGTTTCCTTACAAAAACTCGGGGTGTTGAAGTTTTAGGAAAAAAAATGGAAATTAATTAATATTTTCAGAACCGCTTCAGATATTTCATTGATATTTGGTCTAAATGGGCTAAACAAAATGAGAATGGAGTAGCAGAAGAGGGCAACTTATAATATGGACAGCATAATAGCCGGAACAACAACGAATTGCCTATATTCATGTGCTACAAAATTTCGGAATAATTGACACATAATAATACATGGTTATCCAATTCCGTCTCGCTGTATCCATGTTACGGTTTAAGTATTTACTTAGCTAGTTTATAGATTAGCTGGTTAGTATATAAACTCTACAAAGGTATGGTTATTTTGATTGAAAATCACAATTTCACTAAAATAGCTACGACTATTGGTTGGTTTGTATACTGTCCAGTTAGTCTACAAAACATACAAGATTTATCGCTAAAGTATAAACCACAAGAAAATTATATAAATTAACCTGAATTTGTGGCTAGTTCACAAACCATCCACAGTAGTTGGATAAAGTGTGAACTTATTATCACTAGTAATACATAATAACTAACTCGTTGGTTAGTATGTAAACTAACCAATCCTCTTTGGCTGACTTAATTTAGGATAGTAAAATAATTCTCTATAAAAAATATATCTTATTTTTAAGTATAACGTAACATTCCTATTACTACTCAAAAATAAGACAAAAAAAGTAACAGAAATAGTATTTGTGTGGCAAAATATTAATAATTAACTCAAAAACATTGAAGTTCTGAAAAAAGAACATTATTATTTATTGGAGCAAGTTGCACTGTTGTGGCGCTTGCTGTTACAAGTATATCCGGTAGCAAAACATTTACAGTTTATGTATATATATATATATATATATACAATTAATTGTTAATTGGGAAATTGGCAAATTTTTAGGCTTAAGTTGACTCTTTTGACGATAAAATCAAGCTTTCGACAACCTCAACGACGAAATCCTGATAGAGAATGCCGAAAGCTTGATTTTATCGTCAAAAGAGTCAACTTAAGTCTAAAAATTTGCCAATTTCCCAATTAACAATTAATTGTATTTTGTGCCCAACTGGTCGTTGGCTTTGGCAATGACTACTGCTCACGTATATATACAGGGTGTCCGCAAAGTTGGGATTTTCCTTTTCAGAAACAACTACCCTTGAAATAACAAAGGTAAAGTGTAGTGAAACGAGGGCGACCAAGTAAAAAAAATAAAGGAAAAAGTACTCACTCTCCAGTTAACGCGAAGGGCTAAATACGTCTCTGCTCGAAATCATACCGCTCCAACAGAAAATGAAATCAGCTGATGCGCTACCGAGCAGACGCCGGCGCTGGTGCAGACCACGAACAGACGTAACAAATATGACCATCGTGCAGATACCACATTGATTGTCTTACACTTAATGGCACATCTTCTAACAAGGAAGGCAAAATGTTGCGTAAAAAATCTAGGTATTGCATCCCGTCCAATCGATTTGGGAGAATAAATGGTCCAATGAGGATACCGTTCACCATGCCAGCCCAAACATTCACCGAAAATGTTTGTTGAAAATGTGCCCGACGGGCAGCGTGCGGATTTTCTACTGACCAAACATGAGTGGTTGCGAAAGTTATTCACCCCATTACGCGTGAACGTAGATTCGTCTGTCATCAATATGCACTTCAAAAAGTCCGGATTATTGTCATGTTGATGCAACAACCACTCACAAAACCGCACTCTTGCTGGAAAATCGTCAGGTTGAAGGGCTTGTACACGTTGGACGTGAAACGGATACAGTCCCTCTTCACGCAGCGTTTGCCACACTTTAGTTTTTGAAACTTGCACTCCTCTAGCCACGTCTCTAGTGCTTGTTGTTTTTTGAAACGCAATCGATTATACGGGTTCGTTTACCTCTACACGCGTGACCGTAACCGTCGGTTGAAGGTTGCATACTGACCTGACACACTGACCCCGACCCAGTTCTGTCGTCGGGTTGAGCTAGTGTCTTAGTACCACTCGGGAATGTCGCGAGTCGCGGCTACAGGACGGTATTCAGATATTTTTGATGTTGCAGAGCCCTTTATCTCGGTTCCCTTAAGACATTGGTGTATATGGTACTAAGAAAAATTGCTTATGTTTTCAAGATCTACACGTCTTGTAAAGGAAAACTCCAACTTTGCGGACACCCTGTATATATATATATATATATATATATATTCTGCGACTTTTGGTCATAAAGTTCCATGAGTATTTTTTCAAATTCATGCTGTTGATTTATTTTCAATAGGTGGATGCTTATTTATAAACGACTTTCACAAGATACGATACTAAGCAATAACAAATGCTTGCTACAAACCACCTGCAAACCTCACTTTTTCAATAAATTAACCAGAGGATGAGTTAGTTTACAATACTTACCAACGAATTGGTTATTATATATTGCTAGGAATGCTGAGCTCATACTTCATCTACTTACTGTGGATAGTTTGTGAACTAGCCAAAAATTCTTGTTCATTTATGTAATATTGATGAAGTTTGTACTTTGGCGTTGAATCTTGTGCACTTTATAGACTAACTGTTAGTTTGTATACTATCCAGCTCCTGTATAATCTAGCTCAGTAAGTACTTTAACCATAACATCTATACTAATCGACAGATACACATCAATCCCAGTATACTTATCTCTTTGCAAACAAATACTATAATAGAGATAGTGAGATAAACATATTGATCACATGGACATTTTAAGCAGTAATACAGGCGCGTTGAGTTGCTAAGTACGTGAAGTTTATTTTACTGTGGTGATAAATGTATTGTGGATGATCAGTAGGATGCCAAAAAACCGACGATGTGTGCTTCAAGAACCTCTGAATTGTGGATTTGGATGCACTTCTGAATTGACAGAATAATTTTTGGTAATCATTATTGAAGAGCAAATCATTAAAGTTGAATCAGTGGAGAAGACGGTGGATGACAATCGGCCAACAATTTGGATGAGAAGAAGTTATGTGTTATGGGGATAATATTGTCCTTAAAAGCTTGCATGTATTGCACTGATATGAGGACTTTCTTGGTCATATTAATTAAATTCATTGACTTTAATTTTAACAAACACAAAATAATATCAAGTTCCCTCTGGAAAAAAAGTTTGTTTACTTACTTTACTGTCAGTTGGCATCATTATTTTAGACGACGAAAAGTAATTCACTTTGAGTAATAATGAAATGTAGGGAAGCGACGGATTTTATACGGACAACGTAGAGGAATGCTCTGACAATGTTAGATACAAACATAAAGCGAAATTTGCAGATAAAATCCTTGTCTAGTGCGCAATTTCTAACAGGGGTGTATTCCAACCTTTTGTGCGAAGATTGAGGGGTGACGCCTTGTATAGTCAGAGCTATATTGATAACTGCCTTTAAAAATTGCTTCAGTTTGTTCACGAATATCATGCTATTGACCATATCATGTTTTGGCCAGACCAGGCATCGCACCATTACTCAACAGATACCGAAAAATGGCTTCTACCACACAACATAGGTACATTTTGATACCAAAAACGATAACCCTCCAAACTGGCGGCAGGCTCGCACAATACAGCATTTTTGGGCTTTACTGTACAGGAAGGTTTATCATGCAGGCTGGGAAGCCCAAGATGAAGAACAATTAAGACGGCGAATTTACGAAATTGTTTGTGGCAAAACTTTTAGGGCATACGTTAGATGTAACGCGGAATTGATTTTTCTCTTGCTTCCCTACAGATTCCATTGATAACAATTTTGGATACACCATGTATTCAAAGTAGATCTACCCATTTTCCGTCGTTTCCCTTCATTTCAGAACTACTCAAAGTCGTAATCTAAAATAATGATTTTTCCGTTGACAAAGTGTACCGGCCTCAGTTGACGACAGCATCGTGGTATACGGAGTTGCGTTTGAGGGTATTCGGGGCACTTAAGTCTGTTTTGATATTTAACACCATTCCTCCCCAATTCCCAAGATATCGTACTCTTTAAAGCCAATGCATTTGGTGCCAAAACTTTTAGCACATACGTTGCAGCAGTTTTACGGGCTGATTTGACAGGCGGAGTTAAATAGATCTAAGAGCGCACGCTTCCTAAACGCACAAATCTCATCGACATTTCCTTCTGTTTCAGATTCGTCCAAGACGTAGAGAGTGACAGCAATGCAGACATGGAATCAACTCCTACCACCGCCATAGATACCGAACCCACTCCAGCACCAACAGTCAGTAGGGAACAGAACAACAACAACACGTTCCAACAGAACTTGGAATCGCGATGTGAAAACGTGGTAAACACTCGCTGAGCGCAGCTAAGAGACTATCGAGTGTCAATTTTGTACCCATATGGCTCAGTGTGGCGCTGATACATGCAGTGGCATGCAGGATTAGGTCTAAAGTATGTGTACTCACAGACAATTGTTGAATCATAATATTTATGAATATTTGACTATGATGATGAATGCGAAACTCGTGGTTCATTTAACTGAGCATACTCCATGTTGAAACAGAGAAATTTGAACGTTTACAATATTATTTATTATCCGACCAAGTCGAGAGCAGGTAGTCTGAACGAGCAAAGCTGTACTTTGTCCATTTCATCATTTGTGCAAACGGAATCTCTCGTTCTTCCAGCGCTCCATTTATTATTATCTTATGAACCGCTTGAGGCTGAAAGATACTCTGTGTATGGATTTCATTATTTTATTGATATTTAGAGAGAAAATGCCAAAATGCTTTTGAAATTATTAGTACACTCTTAGAATATTAACAAAGATCAATTGACTGATTTTATCATGAACACCAAGTCACTTGGGAAAGATCCATAGTGAGTGTACAAAGAAAGTGTCAGAGGCTGCACGTGGAATTTCATATAACCTTGCATGAACCGCTGTCTCTTGATCTCCCAAAAGAGATGGAGGGAGCTGCAGTTCTATGGCTGGCAGGAAACTCCAACCAACTTGCATCTAAAAAATACCAGTAAATGTCCGCAAGATCACTTTTTCCCACTTCCGCCTTTACGTAAATACATTTAATTTAGTATACGCTAACGCTACATTTTGATACGGAGTGAAAAATCTTAGAATCCAAGAACTATACACCTCGCATTTTTGATTATTTTTCATTGTTCCGCTTTTAAAGAGTGAAGACACTTCTTTCAAGTCTTCTTAATAATTGAATTTACCATTACCAAGAACATGCACATGGTGAGTTTTTATTATGTAATTAGTGGATAACTGTTTGCTATTTTCAAAAACTATAGGCTAAGATACTTGCTTGGAAAATATGCTGCTTGCTTACAGGGTGATTCATAACAATATGGCAGCACAATCATTTTCCTAAACGCAAACTGTACTTTTTCTCAAAGAGAGAGATTGTTCTTTTTATAAGCTTTCTTCTGGTGTGCATTTTAATTTTTTTGGTGGAGTTGAATTACTGTTTTTTTTTGAGTTTTTTCAATTTTCAGAAATTACTGCTCAAAATAAATGAATACCAGTTTATTTGTGGACGGGGGATTTTCAGTGGATGAGAGGGCTTCCTTCCTTTGAACATGTCTTTCATGCATACACTCAAATATATAGGAGTTTACATTCATAAAACTACGAGGGTGAATCAAATATAAACCGGACCTTTCGTCGGTTTTTCACGCAGAAGTAGATGAGCTGTTAATAGCATCATGTCTGAGCAAGAGGTGCACGGGAGGGCGTAAAACTTTCCAAAATTTTGCGTCGTTTAACAGCACAGTCCGGCGATAAGACACAAGGCGTTGCGAAAGCCTGGAGAGGCAGCGCCATGAAAAGCCAATACCAGTCTTCTGCAGGAAAAGTGCTTGCAACGGTATTTTGTGATTTTAGAGGTGTACTGAAAGTTGATTTTCTTCACGATCGCAGTACAGTTAATATTGCCTACTACTGCCAACTGCTTAAAGAAGCTGGCCCATCCGCGAAAAAGGCGAGACATGCTTATTCGAAGTGCGATTCTGCTCTATGACAACGTTTGACGACCCGCATCTGCTTTGATCCAAGAATTGCACCACTGAGCGAGGAGATTATGTAGAAAAATAAGATGCAAATATTAATTAAATCACTAAAACAAAAGTCTGGTTCATATTCGATTTACACTCGTATATGCTTGCGTTGCCAAGAGTGACCCTGTAGAGTAAACAGCGTATGGTTGCCTAAAATGTAACTGTAGTTTTTTAATATAAAACTACCATGTTCAAGGTATAATAAGACTAAAGATCTGCCTTTCATGATAAATGTTCAAAGTTAAAGGACGGTAGGTGATAACACGCTAGGTGGTTTCGCAACAACAATATGCACTAGATATAATATAAACCGGTCCAGTCTTAATTAAAATTTCGTTCGTGTGAACGTGTATAAAATAGCAAGTGTATTACTGGTACCCATATTCTACTACGATCCATATGTCTCCCGGATTCAGTATAGGCATAGAAATTTTAACTTAATATGAGAAGTCTGAGAAAATCAAAAGTTTATCAATTGTAGCCTAACATGCAAAGGTCAAAATCCCTTTAGAATAAACTGCTCTCAAAATACTCGTTGGGGTACGCTTCAATTTAGATACTTGAGTACCTCAAAAAATATAATTTTTAACCAAGCCTTTAAGCATTGAATGACTTTTCAGACCTTAATTCGGAAATCGTCAGTGTTAGAAAACAGTTACCAGAAGTCTTTTTGTTCGAAATTATCTAAGAAACCTGAAAGAAAATGTCCGGACAAAAAAATTGTAATTTATTTGAAGTTATTATTTAAACATGAAACGTTTGGGTCACCGTACGATATAATTCAACTCTCTCAACATTCGGTTAGAAATCATATATACTGAGGTCGGCAAGTATCTAAATTTAAGTTAAAACCTTGTTCTATAGGACCTTGACGAATATTTTAAGATTAGTTTATTGTAAAGTTCTCGTTTTTCAGGCCAAAACTGGCGAGCTTTTGATTTATCGCAGATTGTACATGAAACAAGCAATGCAAAGTCAACCAAAATTTGGTAATAATTATATTTTTGGAATGACATTTAATAATTATGCAACTATACGATCTCCACCCTCCCTGAGTTTTCCTTTGTGGGCGTCTTGCCTTTAGACATTCATATGTTTAACTAAAGGACACTCGAAGTTCGAAAGTTACTTCGGATGTCGGTCAGTTTACGATTTGACCAGTCAGTATTATGACGTATGTGACTCACGACGCATGACCAGACACTTAGTTTATATTGCATGTATGTTATCGTTCCTAGTACCGAAAAAACAGTATGGAACCTTAATGCTCCAAATTTGACTGACCGCTGAATAAAACGGATAAAATGAGTAGCAGAACGAAAACCACAACATAAGTTTCAGATCTTCTATTAAAATCATCATTAAGATGACATGATTATCCTTTATGATACTGTACACTAAAACTTCAAACAATATGCTCGATATTGTAGCATTATTGTCCAGAAATGTACTTTTCAACAGAATATAATTTGAAAAGCCGCATCCATTTCTACTATAAGGTATTTATTGCTTCGTTGCTGAATGTGTCATAGTGAAAATCATAAATTAATGATAAGTTCGTATGTATTTACCTGCGTTCGGAAAAGGACACCGCAGAATATACCCTTATGTAAAATTTCGCTAACAACGCATTGTGCATGGTGCAATCACCGGTGATCAGAGACATCGCTATTTAATGTTGAATTTTTGAAAAGTCACTTTTGCAAAGCTTCACACAGCGCGGTTGATATCTTGAGAATCTGAAAGTATTTTCCCTCGCTGCAAAAAGAATGGGAATGCTGGCATCTATCCCTGCAAGGAAATACTCACACTGATCTGTTAGTTGACAAGCACAATCTGTAGTGAAATTAGCATTAAGATAAAGTCCATTGTTTATAGTGTTCTACAACGTTCCACTACAAAACATCACATTCCATAGAATGTTTCCTGTATAGTGTGCATATCTTAGACATAATTTTTGAGAATCTAGTAAAGATAAGAGGAGATCTTTAGTATTATGCAATGCTTTTTCTTTGTACCTACTCGATATGCATAGACCAAAGGCAACAAATGTGTCCCTCCATCAGACTTGTACCGCCTAGCCTTTCAACGACAATAGCTGCAAATATAACATCATTGAAATCAGTACGTTGATCACAAACCAAAGATAGGTTGTACAATTGATCAATATGCTTTGCACTTAAAACCATAGTTGTGAGTGAAGTCTTGTTTATTATATTTAAAATCAATGGACATACTCAGGGAACAACATGGACGCATAAAATGGTGACACAAATTTTCATGGGAAAACTTTCCATTCAGCAACAAAGAATGAAGAAACGTGTTTTTTGGGATTCAATTAAAAGTGTTGGCAAGAACGAAAAAACAAAATTTCGGATGTGTTCCATTATTTTTCATTAATAATTTACACATATGATCCGACATAATCTTTCTTAAATTTTATCAAAGTAACGTTAGAAAATTATAAAAAATCGTACGTGTACCGCTGGTTTCCTAGTTGCAAACTTACATTGTATATGGAAAGCTGTTTGAGCACAATAAAAGTATATCATTTATTTTTACCGATTTTTCGAAAAAAAGAATATAGAAGAAAAGGTAGCCATTCTCCTTTCCATTAACCAAGACACCTGTTGGTCTACTGGATGTTTATAGCACTATACTTGACATTGATTGATGTTTCGACTCCAATTTTGTTGTTGCATTTTGACTTTTTTGCTATTGGTCAGATTTTTTTATGTGTGGTCTCATTTTGTAGATGCTTAAAAACCTTATTTGGAGAGTCTTTTCGTTATAGCCAACACTTTTGATCAAATTCCAAAAATCCCGTTTCATCATTATTTCTTGTCGAATAAAAACTTTTCCCACAAAAACTGGTGTACCCATTTTATGCGTCCACGCGACCGACATGAGTGATATGGTTATTAAAAAATATAGCTCATTTTTGAAATCACAAACATTTGATGGGACCAGGCTCAGAAATAATAGCGACGTATTATAAAATTCTTGGTTGTAGGTTAAACCACAATGGATCACAAAAAATGTCAATTACCATTATATATTCATATCTAGTCTCCTCCTCTCTGTACTTCATTTCTTTGAAGGCGATTGTGATTATTTTGTGGATCATTACCTTTAAACTGTAAATAACTAGTAGATGTTTAAGAAAGGGTATTGCTCTTCGAAATGCAGGGTATCCCTGAATAAGGTATCTATTTCTCAAATGCGTATAAGCCTCAAGTTTCTGCAAAAAATATCCTACCGGGCTTATCTTACTGCATATTTAGCAGCATCGCAACCAGTATTAGCAGTTTGAGAAGGAATTTTATTTAGGTTTCTCCTAGTCGATCTAAGTGACTTACAGGTATCTTTATAGACACACGAGATTACTATGTTGGTTCAATTTATACTGTTTTCAAAAATTTAAGTACCGTTGGACATTTTTACAGAAACCTGTCGTATTACTTTTTTCCGGGATACAATGTATTCATCTGTATATTTTGTTTACTATTTGTACAAGGCAGTTATCAGAGATTATAGGTATGTGATGGATTCTTGGTTGGAACAGCTAGTGTACATAAAATAAGCTGCTAACTAAGACCATCCTAGGTTAGTGAGTAATATTTTACCGAAATGTTACCGTTAGATTATACGTCCATACCAAGGTATGTTCCGAAAATGGAGAGGCTTGATCATAAGGCAAACTGTTAGAAAATTTCTCTTTTTTTCTCTTCATTGAAAGAAATAGCTTATTTTATAGCCATATCTGTGATGTTACATGTCAATCTCGTACATCTGTTTTATACAAGAACTGTATTGATTTCTTGCATACGACTTTGAAGTTGAGTCATTAATTTTCAGATAATGATTGTAGAAGGAAGATAAACCAAAATATGTGTGTAAAAATAAAAAAAAAATTACCTTGTTTTATAGTAGTATCCTCACGACAAGTATTTCAGTGCGGAGCTGTATTTGATCGTGAGGTCTTGGAGCACCGGCATGCCCTCCCCTGCGAGGTCTTAAGTCACCTGATTCACAAGCCCGTTGTACTACATTAACAAAGGCACGAGGGGTTGGTTGCACTCGATTGGGAAACCGATCCGCATAAACATGTGCCATTTTTTATTTCGTTTGAGCCACGCAACAGACACCACTATTCACTCACGCGTTACCGACTGACACATTGACTGAATAAAAACATCGTGATCAGCGTTTCAAATTCTTTCGCTTTTTTGTTTCCGATGCGATGAACCGATAAGGCGGATTATATACGTTGTTGCCAAACACGAGCACATAATATTATTATTGAGACAGGGCGATACTCAAACTTCCAAAGGGCTGTAACTTTGTTACTTTAATTTTACCACAAAAATGTTAAAGGAAAAAAACATTTCTTTTGATCAGATCTACTCACTGTTATAATAAATGACTCAACTTCGAAGTCACCCTGTATATTTAGCTGCAAATCTATTAACGAATTTTCATCATCATTCACGTATTGCATTGTATTTTAACTTAATATCTTGTCTCTCGCTGTATTTATGGTATAAAATATGGAAACTGTGTCGAAAAACAGGTTTTGATTCTAAGACTTGCCATTTTAACGGAAGGTGCACTACTCTACTTTTTTGGATTTACCTTCTTGAAAAAACTGGTAATGCCGAATGATTCTCGTAAGAAGGGTATTACGGTACTCTGTATAGTTATCATTTATGCTCAAGAGTGGCCTGAAGTACCAAAAGTTTGCCAAAATGTTGACTATGTTGCCAAATCGTATGGTTAGTACTTAATAATGAATGTATCTTGTGCCCCGCATGAAGATGGTACATTCCAAAATCAAACGATGCATTTCCAAAACGAAAATGTGATATTGTAGGAAAAACTTGCACAGGTTTTTTAGTTCACGAGATGAAATATATTTTATTATATGTATTAAGTGTATTCTTGTAAAAATATTATATATTATATAGAGAGATACGACTTATATCTGAACAGTTGAAAACTATATTAAAATATACATATGCATACAAATATATCTATATTGCAGTTAAATACTTGTTTTACTTCCAAATCCGTCCAAAGCAGATAATCATAGGTACTTTGGAAATGAATGCGACTCTGCGGTCTAACATGGTTTCTATCTTCATTTAATTTTAGTTCTAAAGCATTGGCTTGTGCTTTCGTATTATCCAAAATTGGTGATTTACCTTAACTTTTCTGGCTGAATAAGGCCATTGCAGTGACAATGGATAATATCTAGTACGTCAACAGAGAGTCTTGCCAGTGACAAGTATTGCATATCTAACCGTTTAGTCGACATGTACCTTATATAAATCGAATCAAATGTCAAAGAGGCGAACGTTAACGCTTATGTATGCGGTACTTGTGTCACCAACAAGGCGTTGCAGTTGCTCTAGCCAAAGCTGTGACACACTTCGAGACAATAGTCAATGCGGTGCTAAGAATTCAGCACTTCTCTGTGAGGTGGAACACTGCTGAGGCCAAGTTGGGTTAGATATTTACTAAGGATTACCGTCCAATCAGTCAGCTCCTTCTAAGCTCGCCGAAAAGGTGATTTGAAGTAACCTTGAAAATTTTTCGTCAGTTCACCATGTGATTCCTGACGTTCAGTTCGGCTTTCGGTTCAAGCATAGTACTGAGTCAGCACGAGTACTGGCATCTTGCGTTTGGATGTCTCAAAAGCCTTTGAGAAGGCGTGGCACGCGGGCCTCCTCTATAAACCAATCCAAAAGGGTTTTCCTTTTTACCTTCTTTCAGAAAAACGCGAGGAGTCGCGAAAACTTGGATCGTTAGCGTATATGCTTCGCGTCGTTTCTGAAATCCTGATACAGATTTATATGTTTCTGAAAATCGCACTGTCGATCAGGCTTCTTTCGTAAAATTCTCAGATTGGTCACCTTGTTATCAGGTTCACCGGAACGCGAGGAGGTATGCAAATTGTATTCTGCTCTTTTTTCTGAAAATTGCACAGTTGACGTTTCTCGTAATGGTGGACAATGACTCTCCAGCCGCATCATAGAACCGCGAGGTGGTATGTGAATGACTGTCCGTTCATGCTGTGATGATGGTGCCAAAATTTTGATCTTTGGCATCTATACTCCTACTTGTTTCTGCAATCCTGATACAGATCTATAAGATTCTAAATATAGCACTATCTACCACAGCTTTTTCGTTTAATTGGTAGATACGAAACCTGATATCAGATTCACATACATGCGAGAAGGTAAGCAAATGGTACCCTGTTCCTGCTATAAATACGAAACTCAAATACGTGGCATCAATGCCTCCTGCCGTTTCTGCGATCCTGGTACAGATCTATAGGTTACTGAAAAATCGCATTGCCGATCAGACTTCTCCCGTAGGATCGGTGGATGATCAGTTGATATCGGGATTATTGAAACGCGAGGAGGTATGTGAATGACCCTCTGCTTATTCTGTGATGTTCGTGCCAAAATTTTGATCTTTGACATCTAGTCGTTGCTGTAATCCTGATACAGATTTATAGGTTTCTGAAAATCGCACTGTCGATCAGGCTTCCTTCGTAAAATTCTCAGATTGGTCACCTTGTTATCAGGTTCACCGGAACGCGAGGAGGTATGCAAATTGTATTCTGATCTTTTTTCTGAAAATTGTACAGTTGACGTTTCTCGTAATGATGGACAATGACTCTTCAGCCGTATCACAAACGCGAGGTGGTATGTAAATGACTGTCCGTTCATGCTATGATGATGGTGCCAAAATTTTGATCTTTGGCATCTATGCTCCTACTTGTTTCTGCAATCCTGATACAGATCTATAAGATTCTAAATATAGCACTATCTATCACAGCTTTTTCGTTTAATTTGTAGATACGAAACCTGATATCAGATTCACATACATGCGACAAGGTATGCAAATGGCACCCTGTTCCTGCTATAAATACGAAACTCAAATACGTGGTATCAATGCCTCCTGCCGTTTCTGCGATCCTGGTACAGATCTATAGGTTACTGAAAAATCGCATTGCCGATCAGACTTCTCCCGTAGGATCGGTGGATGATCAGTTGATATCGGGATTATTGAAACGCGAGGAGGTATGTGAATGACCCTCTGCTTATTCTGTGATGTTCGTGCCAAAATTTTGATCTTTGACATCTAGTCGTTGCTGTAATCCTGATACAGATTTATAGGTTTCTGAAAATCGCACTGTCGATCAGGCTTCCTTCGTAAAATTCTCAGATTGGTCACCTTGTTATCAGGTTCACCGGAACGCGAGGAGGTATGCAAATTGTATTCTGATCTTTTTTCTGAAAATTGTACAGTTGACGTTTCTCGTAATGGTGGACAATGACTCTTCAGCCGTATCACAAACGCGAGGTGGTATGTAAATGACTGTCCGTTCATGCTATGATGATGGTGCCAAAATTTTGATCTTTGGCATCTATGCTCCTACTTGTTTCTGCAATCCTGATACAGATCTATAAGATTCTAAATATAGCACTATCTATCACAGCTTTTTCGTTTAATTTGTAGATACGAAACCTGATATCAGATTCACATACATGCGACAAGGTATGCAAATGGCACCCTGTTCCTGCTATAAATACGAAACTCAAATACGTGGTATCAATGCCTCCTGCCGTTTCTGCGATCCTGGTACAGATCTATAGGTTACTGAAAAATCGCATTGCCGATCAGACTTCTCCCGTAGGATCGGTGGATGATCAGTTGATATCGGGATTATTGAAACGCGAGGAGGTATGTGAATGACCCTCTGCTTATTCTGTGATGTTCGTGCCAAAATTTTGATCTTTGACATCTAGTCGTTGCTGTAATCCTGATACAGATTTATAGGTTTCTGAAAATCGCACTGTCGATCAGGCTTCCTTCGTAAAATTCTCAGATTGGTCACCTTGTTATCAGGTTCACCGGAACGCGAGGAGGTATGCAAATTGTATTCTGATCTTTTTTCTGAAAATTGTACAGTTGACGTTTCTCGTAATGGTGGACAATGACTCTTCAGCCGTATCACAAACGCGAGGTGGTATGTAAATGACTGTCCGTTCATGCTATGATGATGGTGCCAAAATTTTGATCTTTGGCATCTATGCTCCTACTTGTTTCTGCAATCCTGATACAGATCTATAAGATTCTAAATATAGCACTATCTATCACAGCTTTTTCGTTTAATTTGTAGATACGAAACCTGATATCAGATTCACATACATGCGACAAGGTATGCAAATGGCACCCTGTTCCTGCTATAAATACGAAACTCAAATACGTGGTATCAATGCCTCCTGCCGTTTCTGCGATCCTGGTACAGATCTATAGGTTACTGAAAAATCGCATTGCCGATCAGACTTCTCCCGTAGGATCGGTGGATGATCAGTTGATATCGGGATTATTGAAACGCGAGGAGGTATGTGAATGACCCTCTGCTTATTCTGTGATGTTCGTGCCAAAATTTTGATCTTTGACATCTAGTCGTTGCTGTAATCCTGATACAGATTTATAGGTTTCTGAAAATCGCACTGTCGATCAGGCTTCCTTCGTAAAATTCTCAGATTGGTCACCTTGTTATCAGGTTCACCGGAACGCGAGGAGGTATGCAAATTGTATTCTGATCTTTTTTCTGAAAATTGTACAGTTGACGTTTCTCGTAATGGTGGACAATGACTCTTCAGCCGTATCACAAACGCGAGGTGGTATGTAAATGACTGTCCGTTCATGCTATGATGATGGTGCCAAAATTTTGATCTTTGGCATCTATGCTCCTACTTGTTTCTGCAATCCTGATACAGATCTATAAGATTCTAAATATAGCACTATCTATCACAGCTTTTTCGTTTAATTTGTAGATACGAAACCTGATATCAGATTCACATACATGCGACAAGGTATGCAAATGGCACCCTGTTCCTGCTATAAATACGAAACTCAAATACGTGGTATCAATGCCTCCTGCCGTTTCTGCGATCCTGGTACAGATCTATAGGTTACTGAAAAATCGCATTGCCGATCAGACTTCTCCCGTAGGATCGGTGGATGATCAGTTGATATCGGGATTATTGAAACGCGAGGAGGTATGTGAATGACCCTCTGCGTATTCTGTGATGTTCGTGCCAAAATTTTGATCTTTGACATCTAGTCGTTGCTGTAATCCTGATACAGATTTATAGGTTTCTGAAAATCGCACTGTCGATCAGGCTTCCTTCGTAAAATTCTCAGATTGGTCACCTTGTTATCAGGTTCACCGGAACGCGAGGAGGTATGCAAATTGTATTCTGATCTTTTTTCTGAAAATTGTACAGTTGACGTTTCTCGTAATGGTGGACAATGACTCTTCAGCCGTATCACAAACGCGAGGTGGTATGTAAATGACTGTCCGTTCATGCTATGATGATGGTGCCAAAATTTTGATCTTTGGCATCTATGCTCCTACTTGTTTCTGCAATCCTGATACAGATCTATAAGATTCTAAATATAGCACTATCTACCACAGCTTTTTCGTTTAATTTGTAGATACGAAACCTGATATCAGATTCACATACATGCGACAAGGTATGCAAATGGCACCCTGTTCCTGCTATAAGTACGAAATTCAAATACGTGGCATCATCTGCGATCCTGATGCAGATCTAAAAGTTCCTTAAAGTCGCGCGTCTTTGTAAAATTAGTAGATTGGAGACTTGTTATCAGGTTCACAAAAAAGAGAGGAGGTAATCATCCTGCTATGGGATAAGCACGAAATTCAAATATGTACCTCTTACCGTTTCTGCGATCCTGATACATATCTATAAGATTCTAAATATAGCACTGTCTACCACAGCTTTTTCGTTTAATTGGTAGATTGGAAAACTGATATCAGATTCACATACATGCGACAAGGTATGCAAATGACACCCTGTTACTGAAATTCAAATACGTGGCATCAATGCCTCCTGCTGTTTCTGCGATCCTGGTACAGATCTATAGGTTACTGAAAATCGCATTGCCGATCAGACCTTTCTCGTAGGATCGGTGGATGACGAGTTGATATCGGGATCATTGAAACGCGAGGAGGTATGTGAATGACCCTCTGCTTATTCTGTGATGTTCGTGCCAAAATTTTGATCTTTGACATCTAGTCGTTGCTGTAATCCTGATACACATCTATACGTTTCTGACTATCACATTGTCGACCGCGATGCGGTATGTGTAGTACTGTGCTTCTCGCCGTTTCTGCGATCCTGATGCAGATCTAAAAGTTCCTTAAAGTCGCGCGTCTTTGTAAAATTAGTAGATTGCGGACTTGTTATCAGGTTCACAAAAACGAGAGGAGGTACTCATCCTCCTATGGGATAAGCACGGAATTCAAATATGTACCTCTTGCTGTTTCTGCGATCCTGATACAGATCTATAAGATTCTAAATATAGCACTGTCTACCACAGCTTTTTCGTTTAATTGGTAGATTGGAAAGCTGTTATCAGATTCACATACATGAGAGAAGGTATGCAAATGGCACCCTGTTCCTGCTATAAGTACGAAGTTCAAATACGTGGCATCAATGCCTCCTGCCGTTTCTGCGATCCTGATACAGATCTAAAAGTTTCTTAAAGTCGCGCGTCTTTGTAAAATTAGTAGAGTGGAGACTTGTTATCAGGTTCACAAAAACGAGAGGAGGTATGCATCCTGCTATGGGATAAGCACGAAATTCAAATATGTACCTCTTGCCGTTTCTGCGATCCTGGTACAGATCTATAGGTTACTGGAAATTGCACTGTCAACCAGATTTTTCTCGTAAAATGGAGGGTGACTTGGTATCGGGATCACAGAACCGCGAGGAGGTATGTTTTCTGTATTGTCTATGATACTCGCACGAAATTTGGATCCTTGGCATCTATGCTCCTTGTGGTTTCCTCGATCCTGATACAGATCTATAAGTTTCTTTAAGTCGCACTGTCGATCAGGCTTTTTTCGTAAAATTGGTAGATTGGAGACTTGTTATCAGGTTCACAAAAACGAGAGGAGGTATGCATCCTGCTATAGGATAAGCACGAAATTCAAATATGTACCTCTTGCCGTTTCTGCGATCCTGATACACATCTATAGATTTCTGAAAAATGCACTGTCGACCTGACTTTTCTCGTAAAATTAATGGATGGTGACTTGCTATCACAGAACCGCGAGGAGGTATGTTTATAATATTGTGTTCTGACTATGATAGTCGTATGAAATTTGGATCCTTCGCATGCTCCTTGTGGTTTCCTCGATCCTGATGCAGATCTGTAAGTTTCTTAAAGTCGGGCTGTCGATAAGGCTTTCTTCGTAAAATTGGTAGATTGTTGTTATCAGGTACACAGGAACGAGAGGAGGAATGCACCCTGCTATGGGATAAGCACGCAATTCAAATATGTACCTCTTGCCGTTTCTGCGACCCAGATACAGATCTATAGATTTCTGAAAATTGCACTGTCGACTAGACTTTTCTCGTAAAATTAATGGACGGTGACTTGCTATCGAGATCAAAGAACCGCGAGGAGGTATGTTTATAGTATTGTGGTCTATGATACTCGCATCCAACTTGGATCCTTGACATCTATGTTCCTTGTGGTTTCCTCGATCCAGATACAGATCTATAAGTTTCTTAAAGTCGCACTGTCGATCAGGCTTTCTTGGTGAAATTGGTAGATTGGAAAATTGTTATCAGATTCACATAAGCGCGGAGAGGTATGCAAACGATACGCTGCTCCTGCTATAGGATAAGCATGAAATTCAAATTTATGACATCGATACCTCTTGCCGTTTCTGCGATCCCGATACAGGAAGATTTCCGAAAATTCCAGTGTCAACCAGACTTTTCGTAAAATTGGTGGACTACTTGTTGTTGTCAGGCTCACAGAAATGCGAGGAGGTATGCGACTGGTACTCTGCTTATGCTAATACGGTAGCAGGGCATTTTGGTCTCTGATCTCTATGCTCCTAGTCGCTTCTGCAACCCTGATACAGATCTATAAGTGGTGTATTTAATCTACACATTTATATATAGATATGTTTTTGTTTCATTGTACCGTAAAACATTCTCAACGAGGCAGATAAATGTTTATTGTATTGTAAAAAAAATCTTTTGATCTTTTTAATATCGGGGGAGGTGTAGTATAAATATTGTTATTGTAAACTGTTAGAAAATGTTAGGTATCATCACCTCGCAATACCTAGCAACACGAATTATAAATAGAATAAAGTTAACATAAGAAAGAGGATGTTTTACTAACGCAGGTAAGAGTCTACAGAGCATTATGAATATATTACAGTGAGCTGCTTTTATTTAAACTTTTTGTGAAGCATCAAAGGAACATATACAGAACATGATCGCAATCACAATACATGGAGAGTAAAAATCGCCCCCGCGCATATTTTTATTATTATTCAGTTGAAACGTGATGGATTCGTCTTGAAAATTAATAGACACGCGGTGTGTATGGTAGGGAGATATTGCCGGCGCGAACAATCGATTTCCTTTGGGACAGGCGCCCTGAGTATCCTGACTCCCTTCGTTCCAGACCATGGCCTAATTCTAATACACATCCTGCTACACGGCACAAATTCGAGGCACAATTTATCTCCTGTTTTTGGCAACTGCAACGATCAACGTGCAACTGGTGAGTGTAGTAAACTATCTTTTGTAAATTTGTGAACAGTACTGGCAATTCTCATGCACAATCGATGTGCGCTGGTAGGCCATATTTCCATATAAATCTGAACGCTTCAACAGCTTTTGTATGCGTTATAAACATCATGGTCATTTAAAATATGTTCAAAATAGATATATTACGATGTTAATGTATATTGCCAATACTGGTTTCTAGCTTCTGAAACTGTTTTCCCATGACTTATCTACCGAAAGATGAATCAGTTCAATCATGCGTTAGTAACAACCAGGAAAATTACAAATTTTTTGTCGACAATTCAAAACTAATATCAAATGTCAAACAAGAATCCTGGGAACAATTATACTCTATAAATAATATAGACAAAGCAACGGGACTGTTCATAGAGAAAATAAAAAACTAATAGATATTAGTACCAATAAAGTTATAATTAGTCACAAAGAGAAAAGCAGAAATGCCTGGATTACCAAAGGATTAATAACATCGGCAATAGAAAAAGAAAGACTATATAATGTAATGAAACTAACGCCAACTACAGAGAATACCGACTGCTACAACCAATATAAAAATAAATTTATAGAGCTTGTAAGGCAAACCAAACGAAAACATTACCTAAATAAATTGAATAATAACTTAAATGATCCTAAGCGGCTTTGGACAACTATCGATGAGATTACTGGGAACACAAAAGTTAAAGAGTGTGTCACTGAGTTAAATACAACATCGGGAACAGTATTAAAAAAAAACTCAACATATATGCGATGAATTTGTACAATTCTTTACTGACATAGGCGAAAATTTGGCAAGTAATATACAAGCAAATGTACAAAATACTCAGCCTCCAAAAAGAACTTTGAACTCATTTATTTTGGATAAAGTCGAGCAATGTGAAGTATACACCACTGTAATGTCCTAAAAAAATCGGAAAAGTCCTGGGTTCGATGGTATTAAAAGCGAGCATTTGAAAATTATAGCCGAGGACATAACAGAACCACTCACTTACCTAATCAAGAAATGCTTTGAATCTGGCATATATCCCTCAATTTTAAAAAAAGGTAATATAATACCGATACATAAATCAGGAACAAAAACAACAACTATAGACCAATATCAATAATATCCAGTGTAGCAAAGGTTTTTGAAAAAGTTTTATCTACTAGAATGATTCGATACCTCAAAAAATTCAAAATTTTAAGTGAAAATCAATATGGATTTACAGAAGGGAAGGCTACATCGGACGCAATAACTAAAAATGTAAATCAAATACATCAAAATATTGATAACAGAATCCCTTCAATCTGCATTTTTGTTGATTTAAAGAAAGCTTTCGACACAGTTAATCACAAATTATTATTAGAAGCATTGGAGAGAATTGGTTTCAGAGGAAACGCGTACTCACTGATCGAAAGTTATTTGTCAAATCGCCCACAATCTGTGCAGATATCAGGATCATTTAGTAAAGAAATGTATATTAAGTGTGGTGTCCCACAAGGAACTGTCTTAGGTCCGCTGTTATTCAATATATATTTAAATGATATTTTCCAAATTAATTGTGTTGGCAAAATAACTAGTTTTGCAGATGATACTGCAATATTATATGAAGGCACTGACTGGTCTGATCTGAAAAATGTAATTGAAAATGATTTTATCAAAATTATTCGGTGGTTTAACAGTAGAAAATTAAGCATTAACTACTCTAAAACACATTTTTTACCATTTGGATCTTATGCTAGACATCTGCCAAATTACACAAATTTCTCCTTCAATATTAATGATCAAAAAATGCAAATTAATAGAGTGCCCAACATAAAATACCTTGGAGTGGTCTTGGATCATCACCTACGATGGGACATCCATGTCAATTATATTTTAAAGAAAGTTAGATTTGTATCCTACAAAATTAAATACCTTGGGAATATATTGACAGAAAAATATCTTCGAACATTATACCATGCACTGATTGAGCCTCATCTCACATATGGTATATTAGCATGGGGAGCTGCATGTTCCTCACATACCTATAATTTAGATGTTTTTCAAAAAAGTATTCTAAAAATTATATTTAAAAAACCGAAACTTTATCCTACTGAAAAATTATACGCAGATGTTCGAATGTATGATATAAGACAGCTTTATTTCTTACACAGTATCACTCACTACCATAAATTTGTAAACACCGACCAAAAAATTTGACATTATCATTATACCAGGTACAAAATTCGTGGCACAGTAGTTCCTCAACCGCATAAATCTATAATGCAGCGATCATATCTCTATTTAGCGCCTAAATTTTATGATATTATACCTAAAGACTTAAAAGATTTACGTTTCGGAAATTGTTTCAAAAGAAATTTAAAAAAGTGGCTACATTCTATATCTAGGACTGAAATTCATAAACCAATAAATACGAACATCAACTAAATACATAATCTACTGTAGCTAATTTTTGTCCTTTTTTGTCATTTGCATTCTACAGTTTCAACTTTAATTATTGGTCCATGAACAGGCGATGCCTTCTATTGGGCCTGTTTTGATTTTATATTTATTTACTCATATTGTTTGTTATCTTTGTACATTGAGTGAATAAATATTATTATTATTATTATTATACCACGTTTTAAAGGAAGCTTTAGATTTAAATTCAAATTCTTGAGAGACATTACAACGTATGTAGGTATAGGATTTGTCAGAGGAAAAACTAATAAAACAGCACAAAACAAATATATGTATAAAACAAAAAAAAAAACAAATAAATTATAAAACAAAAAATCTACTACACTCTTTAACATGATTTGGTAGCCTATTGAAAATTCATGCACCCAGTATTTCCGGAGATTTGACGAAAATATTATACTTGGCAATAAACACTACGTCTCTAGCTTGCCTGGTCGAGTACGAGCTTAAAACGTTTGTTTAAAAACGTATTTTTATCCATGTCGTATAACAATAATTATAGTAAAGCTAAACTCTTGAAAGACTATTAAGAATGCCTACAACTGACTCCTATTTTACATCCAACCACTCTTTTTTGGGCCAAAAATACTTGCTGGACATTTGTGGACAAACCTCAGAAGCGTTGTGCATATCTCGTGTCTCAACTTGAGAGTAGTAAACAGAAGCTTAAGTGCTTCAGCCATGACCGTTCGCAAATTTTTGAAAAGATATGATGTGTAGTGTCTAGATCTGCTTGGAAAATAACAAAAGGCAGTTTTAGAAAAAATAATACAGTCTTAATAGTAGCGATTTTTCGTTTGCTCCGTGACTTTTGGGACACTGCATCCGAAGGATACGTTTAGATTTTCGGTATAAATGCTTTACATTTCTGAATTACTAAGTACTTTCCAGCATCTTACTGCAATTAGATCGCAAATATTGTTTTTTCCAGAAAACAATTAATTATATTCAAAGCAAATAAACCACTACAATGCCTGGTTCAAGAAAGAAGATTCTCAAACATGTGATGAGCGATATTTGCTCGAAGATGAACAGAACGAAACAATTGCCTGCCAACGTAATGGAAACTCCACTCAACCGATGCCTCAATACCATCGACATCACTTTATTGGGTAAGTTCGCAGAGTTCGAAGAGCAGTATTAAACTACCACTAGCATGAGTCAGTTGAATGCTGAAACAACCGAATATTAACGCTGATTACACTGGACAACAAATTTTAGTTTTTTAATTGTATCTTGTGGGAAAAGTGCACTTCTTTGTTAATTTTGGGGCGCTGAATCCAAAAATGACAATGAAATAAAAAAAAATAGTTGCGGTTCTTTTATGGATCGTTTCTGGAGGATCTCTACCAAGAGTCCAACAGTAGTCTGCAAGCATGGTAGGATTCCACTTTCCCTGGTACCTTTTTTCCATTGTTGAAATATCCTGATGAAAACGTTCGCCGTGCTCATCACTTACGGCTCCGCAATTGTCAGGAAAAAAGTCCAGGTGTGAGTGTAGGAAATGTATGAGACATATTATAGCCCATCTTTTGATACGATGACAGCATATTATTGACAAGGGTTTTATAGTTGTCAGCTTTTCTATTTCCCAAGAAATTAGTGACCACCAGACGGAAATCATTCCAAGCGGTTTTTTCAATACCTGTTAAAGTGTTTTTAAACTGTGTATCTTTCAAAAAAAATTCGAATCTGTGGCCCAACAAAAATACCTTCTTTAACCTTTGCCTCACTTAGTCTTGGAAATTTCTGACACAGGTATTGAAAAGCTGACCCATCTATATCTAATGCCTTGACAAAGTTTTTCATTAGGCCCAACTTGATATGCAGTGGTGAGAATAAAATTTTTTTCGAATCTACTAATGGCATATGCTGTACATTTTTTGACCTGGCTCTAGGAATTGACGAACAGGCCAGTTTTGTCTGGTGTATAGAAGTGCCTTTACCCGACTGTCCCATTCACACAAAAAACAGCAAAACTTTGTGTAGCCTAGCTGAAGCCCAAGTAAAAGTGCAACAACTTTCAAATCGCCACAAATATGCCATTGGTGCTCATCGTATTTTATGCATGTCAATAGGTACTTCATATTGTCATATGATTCTTTCATGTGAACTGCATACCCTACAGGAAGAGATGGTAAAATATTTCCAATATGCAATAACACTGCCTTTAACCCATTAGCGGCCAAACTTTATTATTTTTTTGTTAAGAAATTTTAGCTTTAGCCTAGGCAGCTTGTATGTGGAAAAATAGTAAAAAAAATCTTTTTGAACATTTACAATCGCCACAGGCGAAAAAAAAAATGTTCCAAATTTGGAACTTGGCGTCATAAGAGTCTTGTTGGCTAATTATTAAAAAATAAACTAAAGTATCCATATAACATTTATTTTTATTTTATACACTACGAAGATGCACTTTGATAAAATATTTTAAAACAATCGAGTGGATGTACATTAATCATACATATACCACAACCAAATGTAGTATTTTTTTGCAAACTTTGCATCTATTTTGTTTCATGGAGTTTGGGTAGTGCAAAACAGACATATTCTTGGAGACTGCCTCAGGAACCTTTAGAAATATAGCTCCGTCTTGTCTTTGTGCTCTGGGACTCAGAAGTAAATATGTTGATACAATGTATTTGATAAAGCCAAGTAAATCAAGAGAACGAGAACTGTCCATGAATTCATCAGCACTAGATTTCTTTTTTTTCTCATCTTTTGAGATTCTGTATAAGATCCACGCATTAGAGACCGAAGCGCATAAAATATGTATAAAAACTTGCCACCACCATTTATTATTACGCAGTTGCGGGCGATAATTAGAAATATTTCTATCCATTAAATCTGTACCACCCATATTAGTATTGTACTGCTGGATAGCATGAGGCATCTCTACCATAATATATTTTTTGTCAGCAGCAGAGTAACGGCGTGCTGCTTTTGTGGGCTGCAAGCCAAAGCAGTTTGAAGCAACATGGACTATGGAGTTATCTTTCCATTGCATAACAATAACTTCTTTAGTTGAATTAACGTATGAGTCCATAGAACCCCTATGCGAGTTCTTCATTGCAGATTTATTTAGAGGACATTTTTCTAGTCTGTTTTGCCGGATCGTACCTGTGCATCCAAAATCCATTTCACTTAATCTTTTTATCAGTGGAAGACCCGTGAAAAAGTTATCCATAAAGAAGTTAAATTTTTGATCTGGAAATTGCTGTTTCAATTTTTCTGCAAAGGTGTAAACAACAGATGCTCCTAGGCCAAGGTCGCTATCTCCTAATATTGTTCCTTTGCCTTGATATGGTTCAGTGTTCACAAGATAAGCGTTTGATACATTTGCAGACCAAAATTTGAACCCATATCTAATAGGCTTTCCTTGAATTCTTTGCTTGCAACTATTGGTGACTATAGTATGGTACCATTGATTCGTCAACAGATATTGATGTGGTTTGAGTAAGAGGGGTATGCTGTAGAAAAACAGTGTTTAGGTGGTTGATCAGTGGCCTTACTTTCCCAAATTTGTCATTGACTGGCAGCTGAGTGTTATTTACAAAGTGCAAATTTCTCAAAATATCTCGGAATTTATTTCTTGACATCCCCTTAGCAACCGCTTCATTGCGAAGATCAGAGTCCATACTCCAATACATATCTTTCCTGGGCCTTTTAGAGTAACCAGAAATTAGCAAAATTGAGAAAAAAACCTTTAGTTCTTCCACGGTCACAGTAAAAGATGTGTTTGCATTTTTCTGGGTAGCATACAATATAGTTTGTTCTTTTATGTTTTCAAAAAAAGCATCAGTCCAAAATAATTCGAAAAATTGAATAGGATTTTCTTTTGAAACCAGGTTATTATATATGTCAGATTCTATTACATTATTCAGATTCACAGAGTTTGGTAAGTCTTGCTGATACCAGTTTTCCAGTTTTGACTTTGACTTGAATTTTTTGCTTTTGGGTACGTATTTTAATAAAGGCTCATCGTCATCACTGCTGGATTCTTGATGCTGCTTACTGCCATGTGATACAAGAGTAGCTTCAGCTGGTGCACCTAATATTTTTTGAGCAAATTTCTCACAAAAATCCCCTTCATTTTCATTTCCTGAGGCTTCAGAGTCGCCCTCAGAATCCTCCATTGGTGGACTTATATATATGTTAGCTGATTCAAAGTGCTCTTCATGCAGTTTGTCAATGAGTCGGTTCAAACTGGTTGAACAGGTGGATTTTTTCCGTAAAAGGTTTTGCAATCCATAACCTAAAATAAATACAAAAGTGCAATAGAAGTAGCCATGTTCCATTATTGGAACATAACAAAATGTGACGATAGAAGGTACAAATGAGAAAAGATACTTATTTTACTCAAACTTACCAATAAAACAATAGCCAGACCTTGCTTCTGTTTATAGAGAACTTCAATTTTTCAGCAGTTTGTATTGTTTACGCGCCACTAATAACACAAAAAAATTGTTTTAAAAATAAAATAACCTAGCTGCACTGGTATGTTTACTGCCGTAATATAACCTAAAAAGTTTACTGAAAACAGGTGCTCCCGATGCTGAGAATTGCTAACAATGGTTCTGATTAATTCTTGTGCCTCCATCTATTCAACTACATCCGAAATATCGCGTGTTCCAATTTTGGAACAATGCTGCGAATGGGTTAAACACAATGTTGAACTGTCTATAAACAATCTCCATTCTTCTGGGTTATAGTTTATATTTAAAGCCGCCAGTAAGCCGTTAATGTTACTGCAGAAAAGCAAGTTATTCTCCATATTGAAAAATGGTTCTAAGCCTTTGTGGCGTTTACGAAAAACACATACCGAAACATCGTCTTCTAACAAGTTCCACTGCTGCAGTCTTGATCCAAGTAACTCTGCCTTACATTTTGGAAGTTCTAAATCTCTTACAAGATCATTTAATTCTGACAGTGTTATTTTGTGCGGTTGGTGGCATGACGTGCTCGGTATAAAATCAGGATCTCTTGACGTTGATGGCATATCTTCTTCCTGACGAATCACTCGATCGCCATGATCTGATTCGTTTTCTGATTCGCAAGTGTAGGATTCTGGGGGTTTTGGAATAGGATTTTCGTTACTGTGAGGCACAGGTCTAATCGCAGATGGTATGTTTGGGTAGTTAGTAACTGATTTTTTTTTCTTGGACATACCTGTGGCTTGTCCAATACAAGGTACCATGCAAAAGTAACAAACATTAATATGATTTGTAGGCTCTCTCCAAACCATTGGGACAGCAAAGCGCATAGACCGTTTTTTGCCATTTAACCAGCTCCTCAGACTTGAAGCACATGTATTACAGCAGATGTGGGGTGCCCACTGTTTGTCTTGATCACCTAGTTTACAACCGAAATAAAGCTGATATGCCTTTGTTATTAGTGGAGTAATAGACCGTCTCTGAGACGCAAAAGTCACATCACCACCACGTAACAAAACAGATCTGGATTGTTTACACTCTTTCGAGACATCTTGCATGAACGCTGTCAGCCAACTGAGGAAAAAATGGCTAATATAAAACCATATAATGTACACGTATGTATAACGTAACACAATCATGCCGATTACATCATCTTTCCTTGCCGAATATAAAAATGTAGCACGTGCATTCTTGTGAATTACAGTATATTAACACTCTCACAGCAGGAACACATATAATTATCTCTAAAACTTGAACTAATATTGAAAAAATAAGTTTCATTCCGGTTTTAGCACATTAAAAATAGTAATATTTTGTTGATTTTATTTAGGATATTTTTTGGTTGTTGATCAGTGTTATTAAGCTGTTTTTCTACACAAACGCCATTTTTTACGCATTTTTTATACTTTTTCACACTCTACTCAAGGAAGTCCGTTGCCAGCCCATTTAGCAGCTTGGTATAGTATTTCCAATTCCAGTTAAAAACTCATAAAAACCAGGGCTGCCGTCATCTTAAAGGAACATCTGCCATAGGCGTCACATTTTATACACAAAGAGAAGGTTCAATACGAGCCCCTCCCCACTTCAGTTGGCCCACTTCCAGATTCGTACCAAAATATGCCTTTATAAATCAAACGTGACGAAACTATTTACTTCTAAAACAATTTATTTTTTAAAAAACATTTTAGATACACTATATATATATATATGGCGAGTTTCTGCAACCTAAGGTCGCTTCTCGCAACCCATACGCCATCGTATCCTTTCGTTCCAGTCTCCTTCATGTAGTCCTCTACTTTCCATTGCGGTATGGATGTTTGAAATCCATTTCCTTCGTGGTATTCCTCGTTTATTTCTTTGTGCTGGTGTCCATTTCCAAACCCTTAATGGTATCCTTTCTTCGTTCATTCGTTGCAGGTGTCCATACCATTTTAACTGCCTCTCTGTTATATCGTCCATTATTGTATTTTCGACTTCCATTCTTTCTCTGATGGTCTCATTTCTAACATGGTCAAGTAAAGTTAAACCGGAACATCTTCTCCAGTACATCATTTCGGTTGAGAGAAGCTTTTGTGACATATTTTTATCTACAACCTACGCTTCTGACCCATACGTCAGTACTGGCTGAATCATAGCCTGATATACAATTTTTTTTGTTTTCTTTGTTAGGTTCTTACTCCACAAGATCGGATGTAGTGCTTTAATCATATTTTTTCCTTTTCCTATTTTCCTTAGTATGTCTTTATTATCCTTTCCGCTTTCATCTATTGTAACTCCTAGGTACTGGTACTGTCCGACGTTTTCTATTTTTCCGCTTGTTGTTTCGATGTCTTGTCCTGTGCCTCCTATAGTCATGTATTGTGTCTTTTGTATATTTATCTCTAAACCCCATTGAGTGAATTCTTCTATAAGTTTGTTTATCATGTAAGTCATGTCTTGCTGGTCTTCTGCAAAGACTACCTGATCATCTGCAAAGAGGATTGTATACAAGTGAAAGTCCTCTAACCATATCCCCATGGGGCTGCACTTTCTCATCCACTGTTTTAAAGCGCTGCAGAGATAAACTTTAAACAGGGTTGGAGAGAGGCAGGAGCCCTGCTTATCACCTTTTGTTTGTGGGAAAGCCTCAGAAATTTGATTTCCGACTTTAACGACCACTTGATTTTCTCTATACATTGCTTTTACGGCGTTTATGTATTTGCTATTTATGCCTGCTTCTTTCATTGCGATCCATAATTTCTGCAAAGGGACGGAGTCGAATGCCTTGCGGAGATCTATAAAAGTAGCGTGTAGCTCCATTCCTCTTGCTAATCTCTTTTCTGTCAGTTGTTTTATTGTAAATATGTTGTCGACACAGGATCGCCCAGGTCGAAATCCACTTTGTTCTTCAATTTCCGTGGCTTCGTCTTCTATTCGGGCTGTTAGGACTCTTTCGTACAGCTTTCCGATGGACGATGTAATACTAATACCCCGATAATTACTACAGTCACTCCTGTTTCCCTTTTTATAAATGGAATTTATGTAAGAGCTCCTCCAATCTCTGGGAATCGTTTCCCCTTCCAGGCACTTGTTAAAAATTACACAAAGTAGCTCGTGCGTTCTTGTGGTGGCGTGTGTAATTAACTCGATAGGCAAATCCCCCGGTCCCGGAGCTTTATTATTTTCCATTTTTTGTAATGCTGTTTTTATTTCTTCTAATTGAATGGTATCTACTCTGTTAACTCCCGTTTGATCTATATCTAGTTGCGTGTCTAAATACTCTCCACGTTGTTCTGCCAGTAGATTATTGTAGTAGTCTTTCCACTGTTCTATTTTTATGGGATTTATTTTTCTTCTTTCATTCGTGTTTGTTTTAAGACCATTTATAGTTCGCCAAGCTTCTCTAGACCTAGATCCTCCTACCATTGAGCTAATTTCAGCACATTTGGTTTCCCATGCTTTGTTTTTTATTTTTTTAATTTCTTTTTTTACTATATATTTAAAACGATTATAGCTTTTTCGATCTTCATCGTCTTTTGTAGTTAACCATTTAAGATATAAGTTTTTCTTTTCTTCTACCAGTTGGGTTAAATCGTCCGTCCACCAAGAATTTTTGTGTTCCGTTCTATCTTTAACACCAAGGGCTTCTAGTGCTGCTTCGTGAATTTTGTGTTTCAAAGTTTCATACATTTCTTCTGCCTTGCCGTTAATATCTTCGTCCAGTTTTTGTGCTAAACGTAGTTTGTAAAGGAAACTGGTGGATTCATCCCTTAAGCTGTCTATGTTATATCGCTTTGTGGGTTTTCCATTGTTATTTTGTTCTTGATATATGAGATGTTTATTGTAAGTAATTTCAATGGGTGCTTTTACTAGCAGGTGATCTGAACCGCACTCAGCTCCTCTCCAAACTTTTACATCATAGGGTATTATGGAAGTGTCCTGCTTAATCACGACATAGTCAATAATTGATTTCAAGTTTTTTGTTTTTTGAGTCCAAGTATATTTGTGTATGTCTTTGTGTTGGAAAAATCCGTTTAAGATTCTTAACGAGTGTTGTTCACAAAGCTCTATCCACCTGGTTCCGTTTTCATTGACTACTTCCTCTCCGTGTTGTCCAATTATTTTACTGTCAAGAGCTTTGCCCACTCTTCCGTTCAGGTCGCCTATCAAGACTATTTCTTGTTTATTTTTCGTCTTAACTAATTCCTCAGAGAGTTTGTCAAAAAATTTGTCTTTTGTGTTTGTATCTGAGTCGTCTGTGGGCGCGTAGATACCGAATATTTTAATTTCTCTTCCTTTTATTTTCATGTCAACCGTTATGATCCTTTCGTCAACTGGGTTCCAGTCCATTATGAACTTCTCCATGACCTTTTTTATTGCAATAGCTACACCAGCTTTGGCCCGTTTCGATTTTTCTACTCCACTCCAAAAGCATATGTACTCATCTTTGTAGCTGTTTCCTTGTCCTTTCTTCTTTGTTTCGCTGAGTACTGCTATGTCGATGTCGTATGTGTGGAGTTCTCTAAATACTTGATCATCTTTAGTGTTTAGTCCTTGTATATTCCAGCATCCAATATTCGTTAACCGTTTTCTTTGCTTTTGTCGTTTTCCGTGTAATCCGTCCGAGTTCCGAGGCTGCTGTATGGGTTTTTTAGCAATGCTTTTTTTTTCCACAGGGCGGGGAGCCAACCCGCCGCTACAACCCTCCTCCTTTATCCGGGCTTGGGACCGGCACTGGCAGTCACTGAGCTACTCAATCCACCCAGCATCTACCAGAGGCGGAGTTTTTTAGATGCACTCTAGTCGTAAAAAATACATATTTGAAATCACTTAGACCTATAACTAATAAAAAGTCTGAACGAATAAACAATGCGGAATAAATGCGCGAAGTTAACAAAGCAACAATTGAAAGATTACCACCGGGTAACATCACCTTTATTTTTTATTACGGCTGGAATTCCTTGTGACGAGTCCTACTCAACTTTGAAAGCACCCTGTATTTATTTCCTACCCGCATGTTTGAAATAAACAGATAATGATTCCAACGTATGTTTTTCAGGCGTGGGCCACATGGTGGGCGCAGGCATTTACGTGTTGACAGGGACTGTTGCAAAGGATATCGCCGGTCCTGGTATTATCCTGTCCTTCCTGCTGGCGGGATTAGCGTGTTTGTTGTCGGCGTTGTGCTACGCCGAGTTCGGCACGAGAGTGCCTAAAGCCGGGTCAGCCTATGTGTACACCTACATCAGCATCGGCGAGTTTTGGGCTTTTGTCATCGGCTGGAATATTTTGTTGGAACACATGATAGGTAAATGTTTGATTGATAGCTTGAAAAGACAAAACCCTGTAACAATTCCCATGACGTGTCTAAGACCTAGGTTATTCGTTTATCTATGATTTCTTAAATTACGAGTTCTTTATCACTTCTGTATTTTAGGTGCAGCCTCAGTAGCCCGAGCATGGAGCGGCTACGTGGATTCACTTTTCAACTACGCCATAAGCAATACGACAATAGCCCTTACCGGAGAAATGCACAAGGACCTGTTGGGTCGATACCCGGACTTCCTGGCGTTCACCGTTTGCCTGGTGTACGCGCTGCTTTTAAGTATCGGCGTTAAAGGATCGGCGATTGTCAACAGTATTTTGACTGTTGTCAATCTGGCGGTTATGTGCATTGTTATTGTTGTTGGGTTCTATTATGCTGACGAAAACAACTGGACAGCGGTCAAAGGTAAAAAGTTGAAATTTACTACCCATATGATTGCTAAGTGAAAGTTCTTAGTTATTTATCTCAAGAGCCTAGATAGGAATAGAAAGATCTTATTGCTGATTGAAATCGGATGTAGTCTTGTTACTTTATGCACATTTCAAGGAAATCTTCGTGTCGTGCCCTGACCGTTACCTACTGTTAGTAGTTGACTACCATATTCACTTTGATACTTTTGTTCACGGCTGCTTTATACAGGGTGGCCCAAGGAAAAGGTCGTACCCCTGGTATATTTCGGGAAAAATGCTCCGTCACGTCAATGTTGATGTCTAAGGGGACGGCTTTTCATCTACAGCCATACAATACAGAGTGGTCCAAAAATAAGATATTGCGTTACACTTTACAATTTTTAAATGACATATTTAGAACAATAAACAAGGTAGAAAACCCGCAGAAGGCTAGCCTTGTATACTTTATCTGAAGTCACTTGAAATAGCATAAAAACCTTTGGTCGGCGCGTCCTTTGTAATTTCATGACGTATCATAGGCGTGCGGTTATTTATTTAGAACGATAATAATAATGTTTTTATATCACAATAAATGGATTTTACTATCTTCTTTTTTTTTTTGGTTAAATACTTATATTTGGAGTTTAATTTATGTTGACTGAAAGTTAAGAAATGGAAAAATTACAGAATTACAACGTTTGACATAGGCAAATATTTACATAGCAGGTAGGTATATAAAAATGTATATAAAGACTTACATTATAGGTATTTATCGCCTTCGGAGCTGTCGCTAGAGTCATCTTGTAGAGGAATTACAACGGGATTTATAGGAGGCAAAACACAATATTCATTTTCTTTTTCAATAATATGCCTAGAACACTGCTTCCATAGGTCTGTGGCAGCAATATGAGATACTGCATCTCTTATTGTGGCCAATAGCGATTCACTTAATTGAGGGGTCTGATTATGTTTTCTTACTTTTTTTTAAACCAGGCCAGACCAACTCAATCGGGTTAAAAATGCAGTAATAGGGAGGTAGACGTAATACTTCATGGCCATTTTGCTGGAGCAGATTGTCAACAACATACTCTTTTTCAAATTTTTGTCTTTTAATAAGATCCAATAATATGGCTTTGCTTGATTTTTGTGGTATTTCCATTCCCTTATCCTTCATAAAATCAATAATGTCTTGTTTTTGTGTGCCTGTATTCGGAATTTTGTTTTTCTGTCGGGAATGGTATGGCGCATTGTCCATAATAATCACTGGATTTGGGGAAATGTTTGGTATTAAGTGCTGCTCTATCCACTTTTCAAATAAGTCGGAGGTCATGTCCTCATGATAGTCGGCACATGATTCTTTGATATTTTTGGCAGATAACAGCAAGGCATTAGGTATAAATCCATTTTCACTGCCAGCATGGAGAATAATGATTCGTTTTCCACGGTTGCATGATGCATTTAAAATGCACTTGTTGCTGTCGTCAACCCAGCCGTACTGCACAACATCATGGGTATCATACCACGTTTCATCCAGGTAAATCAGATTTCTTTTCTGCTCTCTATAGATTTTAACTTTGTGCAAAAATTCTTGGCGCAATTCAACGATTCGAGACGACTCCATAATCACCATTCTTTTATCTAATTTTTTGTATTGAAAACCACACAGTTTTACAATACATTGCAGTGAGTCTAAGCATTTGTAATTATAAAAATCTTCAGGATAATCTTTTAATTTATCCCGTATCATTTCCAACGTGGGCACCAAATTTTCTGTATAAAATCCGTATATTATACGACGAATATCTTCCTGAAAACCCACGTCTATTCTTTTTAATTTTTGCCCTATGCGCTTTCTGTGGAAGGAATGGTTGACTACATCTCCCCTTTTTATAACCCGATAAATGGTAGACCGACTGATTTTTGTCAGGATACAAATTCTGTTTAAAATTTGATTTTGCGAGGAATCTGGATTTTCGTTTTTCAGACATCATACATATTTAGGATTACTCTTTGGGTCTGTTCCTCTAAATCTTTATGAAAGAATTCTGCCTGCACAGGTTCATCAACCATCTCCTCGTGGCTTGGAGCATTTTCCCAAGGTCTCCAAAGAGCCATATTTAGGACACACAAGAACAATCAACACAACAATTAAATCAACAAGTAAACTGAGTATTCAAAAGTCAAAAACACACAAACTAATAAAATCTATGAAAAAACACGGACAGACTAAAGAAAACACGTTTATTCACCGCTACATGGCACTGGCTAAACTGTTTCAATTTTCAGTAGCCACCTGCACTTGTTCCGAGCTCTGAAATACACGCTTTCTCATTGGCTATGTTCACGCATAGGCGTGCTTTACTCCACGTCGACCGGTGAAACTGCCTTTGATCTTTGATATTTGCTGCGAAATTTGGCGATTTTTGCAGCAACAGAGCGTGTTAAATATAGATATATAAAACGCACCCGGTATTTCACAGTGTTTCAAGTGACTTCAGATAAAGTATACGCGGGTATGCATTAGCTTATGAATAATTACGTACTACTTAAACTAGAAATAAAGAGGCACACGTGATTTTCTAAGAAACGAACAATTACAACATTAAATATGATTTTAAAATACATTATCTAACAAAGTGGGAGTATGGATGGATAGATTTAATTATAAATCCTTTTTAAGGGCACAAAGTCTATCTTAGGTTATTAGTGTTTTTGTTTTCTGTTCTCTGTGTGGGGGACATATCGAGTATGTTGCCAAAATCGGTAAATAAGTATAGCAGGGGTATTTTGTCTAATTCGGTAACTTTATTCTAGTAATTGGTTTTTATGTTAAGTGTAATCTTTTTAAGTCAACGACTTCGTGAATTCTCTGTCTGGGCGTAGATGTATTCCTTTTAAATGTGTGTTTGGAACGTATCATCTTCAGGACTTGTGGAAGAAGATTGTAACATCTTGCTCCTAGGTAAGAATACGATCTGAGCATTATATTTTTTTTCAGGTTTTGGCACCTTTAAATAATACCTGTTTCTTGTTTGGTAAAAATGTATCGGCTCTTGGTTGGGAGGACGGGATATGTGTTGCACTATCAAAACTTTTAGTAGGTATAATTGTCTTATCTTTAATATGCCAGTTTCTTTATAGGCCAGTTGGATACAGTCGGGGTTTATGAGATGTTGTCTTTAAAATATGTTTTTGAGTTATTTCTAATTTGAATATACGAGTTATGTTTGCTGCTCCCCATGGTATTATACCATAATTTATGTGAGATTCTGCTAATGCATGATATATTATTTTTAATTGACAATACTCTAGTATGTTTTTAATTATTCTTATTCGATATAGAACGGATTGCAACTTTTTCGCGACATACGTTATATGCATATCCCACCTGAGGTGTGTATCTATGTAAATTCCTAAATATTTTGCACCATTTACTTTATTTATTTTATATTTATTACCCTCAGAGTTTTTTATTTGTCGATGATGGTAATAAGATGACACTTGGTTGGCATATGATGTGGAGGGAAAAAATTAGTTTTTTCAAAATTTATTGTTGATAACTTATTACCAAACCAGTCTTTGATTTTACAAAGATCATCTTGTGCTGCATTTCTTAGATCTGTCTAGTTTTCATTTATATATATATATATATATATATATATATATTAACCACAGTGTCATCAGCGTAGCTCACGATGTCTCCTTCAATTTTTTGTTTGAACAAGTCTGCCAAATATATGTTAAAGAGTAAAGGCCCTAAGATGCTTCCCTGGGGAACCCCGTACTCGACCGTTGCTATTTTACTGTAAGTATTCTCAATCTTTACAGTATGAGTTCTACCAGAGATATAAAATTCCTATAGGTTATACGATGTACCTATAAATCTTATGTTTTGAAGGGTATCTAGGAGTCCAGCGTGACTAACTATATCGAAAGCTTTTGACAAGTCAATAAAAATTCCGATGCAAGGTATATTGTCGTCTACATGCTTTGACAGTCTTGTGGTGATATATTCGATCGCGTCTTCTGCTGATTTGCCTTCAACAAATCCAAACTGCTTTTCTGATAATATGCTTTTCTTTTTTACAAGTATAGTTATTTATGCGATTTTTTAGGATTTTCTCGAAGATTTTGGAGATATTAGATAATAGAGTGATTGGTCTGTAGTTAGGCATGTTGGTCGTCTGCCCACTTTTAAATACAGGAAATATAACCCCTTCTTTAAAGCCTGAGGGACATTGTCCGGTATGGAATGCCCAGTTTATTATAAAGGTTAACGGTTCCGAAATTTCGATAGCAATTATTTTTAGAGTTTCAGCTCTAATTTCATCCCGCTCGGAGCATTTTTATTTTCCAAAGACGTGATGGTATTTATCATCTCTTCTTCTGACGTGTCCTCTAAGAAAAATGATTCTGACTTTAATGTCTTTTCAAAATGACGTAAACGATTTTGTTTATTGTTGATTTTCTCTGCCAGGACTCTACCGATGCATCTAAAATACTCTACAAAGTGATCGGCGATCAGCTTGCTATCGTTAACTAATTGACCATCTTGCTCTTCAATTTGGAAACCGACATTTTTTTAAATTTTTAGATTTTCCATGAAGTTTTTAGTAACTTTTGTATAATCCATGATTATTATTTTTAGCCACGCATCCCATTATTGTCAGTTTTAAGTTAGTCGAATTTTATTATTCACTCAAATAGCTTCACAATGATTGAAGATAGGTATAAACTCTATTATACAAATGTTACTAAAGACTTCAGGGAAAATCTAAAAATAAAAAAATGGGAGTTTCCATTTAAACATCTAAGGTGTAACGCCATATATTATCTTTGGATCACTCTGTATTGTAGGGCTATAGATGAAAAGACCTCCCCCTAGAAATCAAAATTGAAGTTTCCGAGCGTTTTCCCCAAAATGTACCAGGAGAGTCACAAATAGTGGTTGGGCCACCCTGTATAGGCGGATTGTAAATTTAACAAGCCATTGTCCTAGATTTTTAGGCTTTCTTCCTGGACTGCGTTTTCTGATAATTTCTTCTTAGATTATTAGATATACAAGCTCATAATTTTTCTAATGTCCTATCATGTAGCCAAACTTATCATGTTATATGAGGGCGGTTCAATAAGTACCCGTGTTAGAAATGAAATCACAATTTTTTGCAAAAAAAATCTTTTTATTTTTCAACAAAAATAGGATTTGTCGAACTCTCCAAAATACGACTCTGTCTCAGCGACGACTTCCTCCTTTGAGCTAAATTATTTCCCGCGCGCCTCTCTTTTATGTCAGGCAACAAGAAAAAGTCGCAGGGGGCCAGATCGGGTGAATATGGGGGTGCGGCAACACTTCATTACGCAATTCATGCAGTTTGGCGGCGACAACTCCGGATGAATATGCTGGTGCATTATCGTGGTGAAACAGCACCTTCTTTTTCGTCAAATGTGGCCGTGTCTCCTTCAATGTTTTGTCGAAGCGGTCCAATAATCCATTATAGTATTGTCCAGTGATCGTTCTTCCTTTTTCTAAAAAATCCACGAGGATGACGCCGATGGGACCGTCTTCGCCTTTTTTGGAGCAGATTCATCCGGTGAAATCCACCGTTTTGATTGTAGCTTAGTTTCTGGTGTGTAATGAAGAATCCAGGTTTCATCGACGGTGGCAACTCGACACAAAAACTCCGTCGGATTTCGCTTAAATTGCTTCCAACCAGTGCTTCGAAGTTAACAGCCGCATCCGATTGTTGTCCACCGTGAGCATTCGCGGCACCCATCGGGCAGACAATTTTTTCATAGCAAACTTATCATGCAAAATATTGATTGCCGCCCCGGTCGACACACCTACGACCTCTGCTACTTCGCGCACTTTCCTTCGTCGATCAGCGAGAATCATGTCGTGGACTTTTTGAATGATTTCCTCGGTAACCACAGGGCGTCTTGATCGATCCTCATCAAAAACGGAGGTTCGTCCACGTTTAAATTCATTGAACCAATATCTAACTGTGGTCATGGATGGCGAATAAAAAGCGAGTGTTACTTGAATGGCTGCCAAATCCAAACCAACCTATCAATCAGACTGGAATTTGTTATGCCGTCGTTTGATAGGCAGCACACGATGATAACATTAGCTTCCCTCAGGAACGCCCGCTGTCGTGAAACGCGGGTACTTATTGAACCGGCCTTGTATAGTTGTAATTTGAGTCTGTAGATTTATTCATGCGGTAACGAAATGTTTGTAACCTTATTAAGGAAATGCCTATACACTACCTGACACGACGTAAGAGGTCAATACAGGGTGTCCGCAAAGTTGGGGTTTTACTTTACACGACGTGCAGATCTTGAAAACATAAGCAATTTTTCATACTACCATATACACCAATGTCTTAAGGGAACCGAGATAAAGGGCTCTGCAACATCAAAAATATCTGAATACCGTCCTGTAGCCGCGACCCGCGACATCCCCGAGTGGTACTAGGACACTAGCTCAACTTGCCGACAGAACTAGGTCGGGATCAGTGTGTCAGGTCAGTATGCAACCTTCAACCGACGGTTACGGTCACGCGTGTAGAGGTAAACGAACCCGTATAATCGATTGCGTTTCAAAAAACAACAAGCACTAGAGACGTGGCTAGAGAAGTGATAGTATCCAAAACTAAAGTGTGGCGAACGCTGCGTGAAGAGGGGCTGTATCCGTTTCACGTCCAACGTGTACAAGCCCTTCAACTTGACGATTTTTTTGCAACAGTGTGGTTTTTTGAGTGGTTTTTGCATCAACATGACAATAATCCGGACTTTTTGAAGTGCATATTGGGGACAGACGAATCTACGTTCACGCGTAATGGGGTGAATAACTTTCGCAACACTCATGTTTGGTCAGTAGAAAATCCGCACGCTGTCCGTCGGGCACATTTTCAACAAACATTTTCGGTGAATGTTTGGGCTGGCATGGTGAACGGTATGCTCATTGGACCATTTATTCTCCCAAATCGATTGGACGGGATGCAATACCTAGACTTTTTACGCAACATTTTGCCTTCCTTGTTAGAAGATGTGCCGTTAAGTTTAAGACAATCAATGTGGTTTCTGCACGATGGTGCACCGCCCCATTTTAGACGCGAAGTGCGTGAGTTTTTGAATGAATTATTTCCGAATAGGTGGATCGGACGTAATGGACCAGTAGCGTGGCCTCCGCGATCTCCAGACTTGAGACTATGTGATTTTTTTCTTTGGGGAGAAATGAAACGCTTAGTGTACAAAACTGAAGTGCATACGGTTGACGAACTTCGTCTCAGAATTGAACAAGCTGGTGCTTTCATTCGGGGGAGGGACTCCATTCTCAAAGCCTGCACCGATGCTTGGCTACGTCGTGCTCGCACCTGTGTTTTTGAATCAAACGGCGATAGCTTCGAACAATACCTATAAAGTACGTTTACCTAAAAACTGAAAACGCGGCAACGCCGTCTTATTTGTTACCTCTGTTCGTGGTCTGCACCACCGCCGGCGTCTGCTCGGTAGTGCATCAGCTGATTTCATTTTCTGTTGGAGCGGTATGATTTCGGGCAGTGACGTACTTAGCCCTTCTCGTCAACTGGTGAGTGAGTACTTTTTCCTTTATTTTTTTTACTTGGTCGCCCTCGTTTCACTACACATTACCTTTGTTATTTCAAGGGTAGTTGTTTCTGAAAAGGAAAATCCCAACTTTGCGGACACCCTGTATAAGATCTATACAGGGTGTCCCTGTCACGTCATGGACAACTAAATGGCACAATTTTGTTTTGACGAAAGTCTTGTACTTTTTGAGATTCTCAGCATTCATTTTTTTTAAACACTGACTTATACTCAGTTAATCCCATGTCATTTCTTCAAATTCAATTTTTTTTATTTTTCTTTGACGTGGCGAAAAACCCACATAAAAGTCTGAATTTTTATTAAAACCCCTTCTCACGCCTGACTTTGACACCCTGTAGAGTGAGACGATGGATCAAGTACGATCACTGTGCCAATTTGTCGAAAGTATTGGTCTACTATTGGCAATTTTCGAAAGGTATTAGTGTAATCCGCTGTTTCTTTTTTCGTTCCATTGCAGTAATAGAGGAGGAGGGTCACTTTTCGTAGATATCAGAAATTAACAATATATGGCCTGGATGCTAAGAAATGGACTAGATTGAAGTTAAATGATAATGTACAAAGCTTGTGCAATCGAAACCCATCTTTGCTCCAAAAAAAATTTATTGGCAAATATATCTACAAATAATTACCTCTACAATTAAGGCACATATTCCACTGTTTCACCAATCTCCTCTCTTCCACTCTTAAATTTTCGATATAATTCCTTGACAGTTGCATACGCAAAACACGCGTTTCCATACACTGCTCATATTCGCGTATGTGTTTGGAATGGTTGCAAACCTTCAACACACAAAAATTGAATGACCGCACGCTGATCATATTTAGACGGATTTTTAGCTCACAATACTCAAAATCGCAGTCAAGTACAAGTGACAGGGACTGATCAGTGTGACGTTTACAAACACAGCTAACATTGCAAAACGTGAGTTGTGTGACTAGACTTGTTTCCAAGGCTAACCTGACTAAAGCTGGGTTTCAATCGAACAAGCCTCTTACTAACATACTTAAATTTATCGTTTATAGGTGGATTTCTTCCTTATGGTATTGGCGGAGTTATGACAGGTGCTGCTACCTGCTTCTATGCTTTCGTAGGCTTCGATAGTATTGCCACATCCGGAGAAGAAGCTAAGAACCCATCCTTTTCCATCCCCATGTCTACTGTGGTGTCCATGGGTATTGTAACGTTGGGTTACATCTTGGTATCAGCAGCGCTTACATTGTTGGTACCTTATAACGAAATCAACCCAAACGCGGCTTTGCCGGAAGCCTTCAGCCATGTTGGGATGCACTGGGTTAAATACGTCATCTCTTTAGGTGAGGGTCATCCCGGTTTCTTCATATTATTAATAAAATAGTACTTTACATGCCCCAGTGTCTTGTCAATTGGCATTGTTATGATTGAATCGTTCATTTCAAAAACCTCTTACGTCACATGTTTCGAATTTCTCAGGAGACAATGACAGCTGTGTGATTAATAAATAAACGAGTTTTACAGAACTCTTGGGATTGATATAAGTATTTGAATTTTGAAGAATAAAAATGCGGAATGATCTCAAAAATCAAAACCATGATCAAGGTGCCATATAGGCACTGCCCCCATATCTGAATACGTAGACTGTCTAATAAAATCAAGAAGTCTCTAAAAATTTCAATAAGCAATAATAAATAAATAAAGATCTATGAAATTGTTAATTGGAATGATATTTTACCTGTTTGCATCAGGGTTTTTTCAAGGGGATTGCTTCCAATTTGCAAAACTGCAACGATGCAACTAAATGGAGGATAAACGGTGATGATTTTCTTCTGTTTCTATTGACAAAAGAAAGCAAATATTGAACGAAAGTCATCAGGACACGCATAAAGGCACGGGGTCCGAAGGTATATAAAAAAAACTTACCGCTGAGGGTCAAAATCCCATAAAAAAATGGAAGACGTAGTACCCAAGCCAAAATAACTAAACTTAAGTTACAAAACAAAAAGAAAAGGGTGCTAGTCCATGAATGGGCGCTTGGGGCCTAATATCCCAGAGTCCGGAAAACGACAAAACGATCCCTGCACCACGACCTCAACGGAAACAGAAAAGCCAATCACGCAGAATACGTAACGTTCTAGAGGAAGGAATCTTGAGTGGCCTTGAAGAAGATATGTTTTATAGGAAGCCAACCAACGGAGAAAAACTGCAGTTTTTTGCTGATCGTCAACACCATTCTGAATCGCTAAGAAAGAAAGATATAATACAAGTGAAATTACACAATCAATAAACTATTAAATTTGCAAAAATAGAATCATTGAAAAGGGGTTTGGCCTAGGAATGGGCACTCTATTATCAATGAAAAGAAATTCAAATTACTGATAAATGGTAAATAGAAAAAAAAAACGGTTACGTGATTTTGGCACGTTACAATATTCCTACTGTTTTCTTATTTTTGCAAATAGCTGTAAACAGCATATTTAGGAAGGCAGGAGTGGCTTTAGCTGTGAACATTCCCTTGAGAAAACCAGCTTGATAAGGGAGGAAAAAATTATGTTTAATAAAGAATTCGGCCAGGCAAATGGCAACATATTTGTTTATAAATTTTGCAAATGGGATATTGATATGTAGTTGATGTTCCCGGGGTTTCCTGATTTGGGTATAGGGATAATTCTAGATATTCTTAGTTTTTGGGACTAAAATAGGAGGCGTTTAAAGTAAAAAAAACATTTATGAGGAAATGTGGCTGGTGGTATGGTGTTGGTTTTCGAAATGATCTATTCAATCGTATCAGTTGAAGAAAGAGCAATTCACAACCGTCCTCAAGGACTTTCTTAACGAATGTCCTAAAAGTTTTACCCCAAAATATTTATCGTTTTTTTTTAAGGAAGACATTTATTTTACATTTTTTCAATGAAATTCTTAACATTTTCTAGGTGCAATATGTGGTATGACTACAACTCTGTTTGGATCAATCTTCTCTCTACCCCGATGTATGTACGCAATGGCACAAGACGGCCTGCTGTTCAGCTTTCTGGGCAACGTGAACACGAAGACGCAACTGCCACTGGCCAACTTAATGATAGCCGGACTATTTTCAGCTTTGATCGCGCTAGTGTTCGATTTAGAGAAGCTTGTGGAGTTTATGTCAATTGGAACGCTTTTGGCGTATACGATTGTTAGTGCCTGCGTCATTATATTACGGTAAGTCATAACAGAGATAAGGCTCAAGCTGAGGCTTAGATATAGACGCAACTTGAAAAGTGACATTATGTCTTCTTTTAGATTAAACGGGGTTTTTCTGACGTTATGTAGATTTTTCTACGAGATGTCAACTTAGCACTAGCTGTTGTCACTTGTTGTGTACTCGTTCCGTTGCAGTACGTGTTGCCTAAATGTCACGATGCTTCAGTTACCAATGTTTGGCTCTGATGTGATGTAATATCTCCTTCAGAGATGGCGTTATTGGAGGTCTAAGGCCCGTATCGTCAGTCGTCCCTACAATTGTAGGGCGTCTTTATGGCCTCCTTGATTGTCATAGTTTTTCTACTTCTCCGTGTCAGCGCTCTATTTTGAGGTTATGTCACAAACATCTATTTGCATCAAATTGTGCTAGCTTTTGAGTTATATCATGTTTTATCAGCCTGAAATTTCCTACAATTTAAAAAGAAAGCATATTTTCACAATAGGAGAGCGCTGACGCTGACACGGGACAAGTGTAATCTAGAAATTTTTGAAGGAGATAAAGGAGTGTGACAATCCAGGAGGCCATAAACGCGCCCTACAATTGTAGGGACGACTGACGATACGGGCCTAAGCTGTAAGTTGTATACCGTGGCTGGAAGGAAACGGCAGTGCATAGGTAGGTGCATAATGAGGATTTGTGTGCTAATATGAGTTGATTATAATCCTACTGGTTTCTTGTCTCAGTGATAAGGAAAGCATATCCCGGGTTGGTGGTATATACACACAGGAATATTTATGAAACGTAAAAACGTTATTATATGACACATTAATCTATAACTTTGAATATAACCTGCCTTCAGAAAGGGCAAGACGAATAACCCCTCTGACACAGCTAATAGATTTTAGAGTTTTTGAAATTACCAGGAAGCTTCATTAATTACCTTTATTTTTTAGTGTTAGGACTTATTGTATTGATAATTCTTCTACATTATTGTCTGTCTATGGTAAATGAATTATACTAAGTAACATATAAATCCGAACACCCAGTTTAAATGGTTTTATTTTAATAAAAGTTGGTGAATGTATTTATCTTACTGTAAATAACAAGTGAATTTTCAGCCTTATCAGTTGGACATTCCGGTTTTTATACTGCTTTTTTTTAATTCACTAACGCTCTAAAAATGAATATTTCAGCCGCAGTAAAGAATCAACGTTGGCGGATTTTGGTTCTTGACATCCTTTACGATCGGTTACGATGCTTAGAGTACGGAGACCTGTTCGATTTCGTCAACTTAGTGAGTTTGATAGGGGCCGTATAGTGGGACTTCGGGAAGCTGGACTTTCTTTTCGGGCAATTGCAGTTAGAGTGCAAAGAAGTGTAGATACTGTGGTTAGGTGTTGTCAGGCATGGCTTCGAGAAGGCCGTACGCAAAGAGCAAGGGGCACTGGACGCCGCCGTAGAACAACAGACCGTGAAGATCGCCGCCTAAGATTATTGGCCTTAAGGGACCGTTTCTCCACTACCAGGTCCATTGCAAATGAATGGTTTGCAGAACACGGAAGACCTATTCGCATGCGAAGTGTTTACCAACGAATGAGAAGTTTTGGCTTGTTTTCATAACGGCCACACTGGGTCCTCCCTTTAACTCGAGAACACCGACGTAATCGCATTGAGCGGTGCAGACAACGGTTACTCTCGGATCAGGAATGGAACAGTATTGTCTTTAGTGACGAGTCTCGATTTTGTTTAGGCATGCACGTTGGTCGTGCCAGGGTTAGAAGGCGACGTGGTGAAAGGAGGAATCCACAGTTTTTTGTTGACAGACATGTTCATCACACTGTTGGGTGCTATAGCTTATGGTTCCAGGTCACCTTTAATCTTCATCAGAGGTAACATGAACGCGCAGCGGTATATCCACGAAGTTCTAGAACCCCATCTTTTACAGTATCTTGACACCCTGGCAGATCCAACTTTCCAACAAGATAATGCCCGACCACATGTTGCAAGAGTCACAATAGACTTCTTTCAACATAATGATGTCACATTGTTACCATGGCCACCAAGATCTCCCGACTTATCCCCGATTGAGCACGTGTGGGATATGATGGGTAGGAGATTGCTCAATTTGCAACGTCCTCCTCAGACTCTAGAAGCACTTCGAGAGGAGTTGGTGGTAGTCTGGAATGAGATACCACAGGAGGACATTGACCACCTGATCAGAAGCATGCCTAGGTGCGTTGGAGAATGCGTAGCACATCAGGGTGCATCCACACATTATTAAAGGTCAAAGGGCTTTAAAGCAGTGCAATCATTTTGAAATTTTTATCATTTACTTATTATGCTTCATTAAATACTTATACAAAATTTTATTAAAATAAAACCATTTAAACTGGGTGTTCGGATTTATATGTCACTTAGTATAAATGCAATTGAGTATATTTCATAAGCTGTAATAATTTTCTCATATAGCGAATATCACTGACTTTATCTTGCTACTCAACCACACATCTTCTCAGAGTATACTCTAGAGACAATCTGGGCATTCTGCAACCAACAAACGCATGATGGGTAACTGACTTGCAGGTCGCAGCATGTCGTGTCGTGTCGTTGAGTCATTCCTCCATGGATGGACGCTCACAGCGCTCATAGTGTGCAAACGCTGAATGTACCATTTGCACACTAGCAACTATCTAGGCAACAAGTTGACATTTTGTCGTTTCTTTTTACTTTTTATACATGGTGTAATTACAACGGAGACAGAATTTGTGGTTTCTTCATGACGGGGCACGACCACACTAAAGGCGACATTCAGTATTTGAATGAACATTATCCAAATCGCTGGATCGGACGAAATGCTCCTGATCCTCGAAAATGGCCAGCAAGATGGCCTGACCTCAATCCGATGGATCTCTGGTATTGGGGAGAACTTAAAGGGATTGTTTATGGGGCTGGTCCAATAACAACTGAGTCACAACTTCGCAAAAAAACATTTTAATGCGGCTGAAATACTAAATGGACAACTTCGAGGACCTAGAGTAAGAAGAAACTGGGTTTGTCATAATGAAGCTTGTGTGAGCGACATTTTGAACACCTTCTTTAAATACAAAAAAGTGCATTGTGGGTGTATCAGCCATTTAAATAATGACTATCATAACGCTTACAGCCTGTGCTAGCTCTGCGGATCCCTTACAGGCTTTGGCCTACAGTATCATTTCCTCCAATCTTCGAATGAAATATTTCTCCTTGTCGCAGATATCGTCCCACATTTGAAACAACGGCTTCGGCAACGAAACCAGCGACAACTCCCAGCTCTGAATTATCTAGTAGCACGTCTGGATCTCTAACGCCTATAGCCGATGTAAGTAAAGATTGATCAATCCCAAAATTAGTTTTCCAAAGTTAACGTTTTATTTTGTTAACGAGATATTGGAATGTAGCTTCTAGTAATTGCCCTGTGATTTTAGATAACGAATCTGACCGGTACCTTGAGGGTACAGTACAGCTGGATGTCTCCAGTATTTGGAAGTTGCGTTCCTGGTTCTGTTGTGGTCGCAGCGGTGACCGTGTATACAATATTTACGTCGGCTCTGTGTATACTGTTTCAAGTGTCTTCTAAAGAACTCATCTCAGGAGTCTGGTGGACGGTGTCGCTAGCCGCATTTTTTGTCTTCGTCATGGGAGCATGTAAGTTATCGCTAGATATATTCCAAATTTTGTTCACCAATCATTAATCAAGGTGCTGACTCAAAGTAGACAGGATACACTGAATATATACGAGGGTTGTTTCCAAAGTGAGGTTCGACATTTTTATAAGGCAAAAGCAATTTTTTGTTTGACAGAACAAATTTATCATCGGAAACGTTGATCTTGGTAACTGCAACTCCGCGTTCACATCGAAGCTTTGACCGGCTGGGATGTAAGGGGGATGGGCAGTGGCTTCCGGAAAATCGCGACAAACGAAAAACTGAATCGAGCTGTTCCCGTATCGTGATTCGCCGATCATCAAGCATGATTTGCTCAATCTTCGCCATAACTTTTTCGGTGATCGACGGCCTGCCGCTTGTGGATGTCTATGCGGACGTCAAAGAACTCTCTCCAGGATTTTAGGACTTGTTAAATTATTTACATGTGTCCCGTATGCTTCGTCCAACTGGCGATTAATTTCTATGGGTGGTAACGTTTTTGCGTGCAAAAATTGGATGAACGCACGAATTTCGCACCTGGCGGTTACGTGGTGAAGGAGCAGACAAACATGACGGTGTTACCAGATTTTGCCCAGCGTCACGCGCGGTAAAGTATCAGCGTCGGAAACCCGATTTTTGAAACAACCCTCGTATAAAACCGTATGAGTGACACTGTCATTGAGCCGTATTCATAAAACAAAGGATATCCTTGTACTGGCAAATTTTGAAGGAAATCCTCCAGATCGTATTTATAATACTTTGAAGTAAATGCTTTTGCTTTTTGAGTATAAGCATATCCTCCAAAGCAGTGACATAAGTAAAAGGATATTCATAATCTTCAAATGTACAATGGCTTGCGGACAGATTTTTATGTGAGAATGAGGAAACTCGAGGAGGAGCACTTTCATGTATAGTCAACGCCAAACAAAGTGGCGTGCACGTCATCACGATAAAAATTCCCCGACCTAATGCCTAGGTTTCTATCACAAACAATTGCTCTATTGCAGTTTCATATTAATGTGATATATAAATTGTAAAATGGTCATTACTCTCTTATTATGGTTAATAGTCATATAAACATTGTTATTAAAATATCACATAAGTTGCTTTCTGATAAATTTAGACGCATTATGCGAAATAAAATGTTTTGCAAACGCTCCAATCACTTATCGACATGTAAACGCACTAAACTGATTTCGCAGCGTTGACACATTGTCACCTTGAAACTTATTTAAACTGGGAACTGACATTTGTATTAATTTTGACACTGAATCAATTTGTGGCATTTCAAATCTTTATAAATCCTTTGGCCCCGCATATTGTAAATCAACAACTGTTTGTTTCAAAACAAAATTATTCATTTTACGAGTAGATAAAGGCAATTTTGGTATATAAAGATGCCCAAACAGTTAAATAGTCGGTGTAAGGAACTCGTGGCCTCGTTAATGCACTACCTTTGAGCAAGAAAGGGACAACAACGGGCCTTTGTTGTCTTTAAATGCTGTTCAAGAGGTAGGTTACTAATAATTATATGTAATGTATATTAATAATAGTGAAATTTTATTTCATTTTTTGTAGCGTGTTGCTGCTGCTTTAAAAATTAGTTTAAGCGCAGTTAGTCGTATTTCCGAGGGTGTGAAAAGTGATGCAAATTTAGAATCGCCCAAGAAAAAGCGGAGTTATATTAAACGTGTAACCAACACAGCGACATTGGATACAAGTGCCATTCGAGAAGTGATCTATAATATGTATCACAAAAGTAAGATCTTATTATAATAACTTATCAGAAATTTGCATTAATTTGTTAACTAAATTATAATGTCATATTACACATGGTTTCAGAAGAACAAGTTACGATACAAACTTTATGGTCTCGATTAAGAGATAGGGCATTATTTGATGGTAGTGCCACGTCTTTAAGGCGGTTGCTTAGAGATCTTGAATTTAAGTGGCTTAAGGACAATCCGCGACGAGGGCTCAAGGAACTACCAAGTATAGCTTTGAAAAGGGTGGAATTTCTAAGGCAATACAATCAAGCCAAGGTTGAGGCCTTATACCAGTTTGTCTTCCTCGATGAAACTTGGATATTTCAAAATGGGACCATAGGTCGCTCTTGGCAAAATGGAAACCAAAAAAGCGTGAAAGCTATTAAAACAGATGGTAAAAGGTATGTACTTTTACACAATTTGCACTATAAAATTTAAAACTAATATATTTTAGATACATTATATTACATGCTGGAAATGAAAATGGGTTTATTGAGGGTAGTGAAGCGATATTTTCTTCGAAAACAAAATTGAGCGATTACCATGGAGAGATGAACCAGGACAATTTTTTGAAATGGTTTCAACATCAGTTATTAGAAAAATTGGAGAGTCCATCTATGATTATACTGGATAACGCCCCTTATCACAGCATGATATTGAACAAAGTGCCCAACAATGCATGGACAAAAAAAATATCCAAGACTGGTTGACAACTCAAAACATACCATTTTTAAACACAATGTTTAAAACAGAGCTATTGAGTATTGTTGCTCGGTACATAATGCTTCTTAATTATATATATTTTGGTCGACAGTTTATATTTCTTATGTTTATTCCTATTCTTAAAATAACTGCTTTTTTAGAAACAAACCACCTAAAATATACGTGATTGATGAATTGGCGGAACAACATGGGCACAAAGTTCTTCGTCTGCCTCCTTACCATTGTATATTTAACCCTATTGAGTTAATTTGGGGCATAGCAAAAGGTTACTATAACAGACATATTGGTAGAGATGGTAACAGTGAAAAAGACTGTTTGGATATGTGGAACGAGGCTCTACAAACGGTTACCCCAGACATGTGGAAAAATAGTGTTCGACATACTGAGCAAGACATTTTTAAATGGTATGAAAGAGAACGAATTTTTGATCGACCAAAAACCAACCCTTACTAATCAACTTTGAGAGTGATGAAGATTCAGATTCAGACAGCGCTGAAGAAAGAAACTCCGACTAACTTTATTGTACAGAAAAAGCTTACACCAGTAGCTTACCTAATTTTAGAATGCATTTTTCTGTATGAATTCTGTAAAATAAATACCATGCATAAAATTTGGAGGACCCCATTTGGATTTTTATTCAGTACCTTTAAGCTATCAATTAAATATGGTAGTTTCATAGTGTCATCTGATCAATAATTGCATACTTAATGATTATGCAAGTACAGATCTATAATTTTATTATACTATTATTTTTGTTCTCATTTGAGGTTAATATTGCTTATAAACCTAGATATGTAAATAATAAATTTTATTATTTTACAAAAAGTTTGGCAACAATGTAAATTTTTCAACACACCCACCTTGATGACGTGCACGCCACTTTGTTTGGCGTTGACTATATTCATAAAATCAAGTTATGTCTACACTATTTCGGTGACCCTGGATATCAACAAGGTATTGGTCAGGAACTTGGTGTTAGTCAGGCAACGGTATCTCGGACTGTGGATAGAGTTGTGAACAGCATAGTTGCACTGATGGAGGCCAAGCGGATATGGCAGCACATGTATGAATTTGCGACAGCAATTGGTGTAATTGATTGTACACATATAGGAATCCTGAAACTAAATCGCCATGGAGATGAGTATATCAACCGCAAAGAGAAACCTACTTTAAATGTGCAAGCCACTTGTGATGCCAGATAGATCTTCACAAGTGTTGATGTCAGTTAGCCTGGATCAGTGCATGATCCCAGAATATCGAGAGATTCACAGACTAGATCACAACTAATAAATAAAGCGAATGTTGTACTACTTGGCGATGACGGTTACGATAATGGTCCATGCCTTATGACTCTCTTCAGAAATCCTACTCCAGATGCAGAAATAAATTATCATAAGCTTTTAAAACAAGAAAGAGTTATAATTGAACGTTGTTTCGGCCAACTGAAACAACGGTTTTTTATCCTACAGTATGTTTGCCGCGTAAAGTTGGAAAATGTGCCGAAAATAATCATTGCTTGTATTGTACTCCATAATGTTGCGAAGAGCTTGGGCGATCCTGACTTTGAGTTAGTTGAACATGACCCAGATGAAGATGAAAAAAATCATGAGAACTAGGTCAACAAACAAGAAGAAACTTGAGTATTATAATAAAAAGCTTTACTGATTAAAGTGTGATTATAAATTATAATAACTTTTATTTTCGTGAACATCATAAGTTACAGGTGGCTTCTGACGATGCATCATTTCTAATTTCGTTTTATAATACTCTTGTTGTAAAATACTTGTTTGGTACTGCTGTGATAGCACTAGACGTTGCAGTTCTTTTGTAGTTAACGATTCGGTTTCCTCAGTTTCGTCTTTCTCTGTTGCTAATTTTCTTTTTGGTGGCAATGTCTTCTGAATTGCTGGCGGTGTAATACTAACTGTTTGCTCACTATAGTTCACTTCCTTCGTCTTGGCACCTCTAATTTTTCCAATTGTAGGATTACATTCACCTTTCATAGCTTTCAGCAACTTTCATTCCCAATCTAACAATTTAATTGCTTTATTGCCAGTTTTTTTAGACCTGCTTTTTTCTACAATCTTGATTTTATGTGGTTAATTTTTTTTAATAAGCCTTTAGTATCTATTTTTCAACATATTCTTCAAGGCATCGTCCTTTCTCATTTTTATTTTCGGAACTTGTGACATTTGTAAAATAATGGGAGCAATGGCAATTTCATCTGCGATGAACTGCAGGTCGTTGCCATTATATTCTACAGTTTCCTCATCACTTGAGGATGACATGCTTATTAATTTGATAAAAAACTGTATCCGGTAAAAATCCGGAACGGTCTGTGTAAGCTCTGGAGTAGAACTGTCAGTGATGCTGAGTGAACGAACTCCCACGTCAACTACAAGCTGGAACAAGTCAGGACATGTCACTCAAGATACAAATACCAGTCAACCTTTTACTTCTTCTTGGAGGATATCCTCGCAAATATAAGGTAATCATTATGAATATGAAAACAAGGATATGCTTATACTTTTACCTTTTTCTCCGAAGCAAAACCTTATACTTTCACCTTATGTTTCCGAGGATATGCTTCTCTTTTATGAATACGGCTCATTGTCTCCTTGGAGTGACTGAGTCATTTTTGCTTTCTGATCATCTGTCGATACAGTTAACATACATTTCCGGTCAAAAGTATTTGCACACCGAGAAAACAAGGAAGCTGATGGAAGTTATTAAAAAAAACATTACAATATCTAAATAAAACCCTTATTTTCTTAACCTTAACGACCTACAACTACTTATAGTCAAAACAATTATATTTTTGACTGATCAATGTGTCCTTCTAATTACAGCCTGGCAAGTGATGAGTAAACGCGCAATAACTTTTCTGTGTATGGGGTTATTTTTTGCCATTCGTCTTGTAATATTCTCCATAAGTGTTCGTGAGATGTAGGACAACATTTCCGTACCTGTCTGTTCAGTTCGTCCGACAGCAACTCTATCGGATTCAAATCCGCAAATGGGAAGGCCATTGCATGACTTTCAATATATTTTGTTCTTCTTTTGCTGCCCAAAATTGTTTACAGAGCTTGGATGTGTGTTTAGGGTCATTATCGTGCTGAAAGACAAACCCCAGACCAATAAGAGGAGTCCCAGAAGGCACAACATGATTTTGTAGTATGACTTTGTAACATTCTTTATTCAGTTTTCCCTGTACTCTCACTATATCTCAAAGAGCGGAACCACCAAAACAGCCCCAAATCGTTATAGAACCTTCTCTTAACTGTAGCTACACTTACAGGTTTGCTAAGGACCACTTTCAAGTCCGCTACTATTTCGGGTGCAGTCAGGCGTCTATTGATTTTACTTTTCACTATTATGGTTAAGCCTTCACTGGAAGTTGTAACTCTGGGTCTCAATGAACGACGGGTGTTGGATGTTGTGTCTTGAGCCTTAAATGTATTAATAATGTAGTGTATAGATGGCACTGGTACTTTCTGAAGTTTGTAAATTTCTCGAATACTTTGGCCAGACTTATGAGAACCAATAATAGCTCCTTTATCTCTACGGAGTATTCTTTAGTTTTACCCTTTTTGCCCAGAAAAAAATAAACAAAAACGCATTTTTTGAAGAATCTTGAACTATAAGGTTAGTTTATCAAATGAAGATAACTGAAGTAAAACTGTTCTGAGCTTACGTACAACACAAGTTACAAGATAATCGAAAAACAAATCGCGAGAGAGAATTCCTATACAAAAACATAACAATATTCTAAAGGCAAAGAAATTCCCAATAAGGCTAATGAGGAGATTTCAATAATAGGGTGAGCAAAATTTTGAATCCAATGACCTTTAAGAGGTGCTTGATTTCCATGGTGATGGCTTTCAATAAATAAGAAAAATAAATACGTACTGAATAGTTTTTTTGTTTGTTATGATTTTAAATGGAAATATGCAGGTGTTCAAATACTTTTGAACGGTAGTGTAGCTCCATTGGTTCGTGTTGAAACAAAAAAGCGGATCGTCTTAATTATACCTTCATGATCGAGAATACTTGTACTCATTAAATAATATGCTTAATATTTTCAGGTCTACTGGTTATAGTAGCACATCATCCAAACACGAGTGGTCTGAGATTTAGAGTTCCATTCGTACCGTTTGTGCCAGCTTTGAGTATTCTGTGCAATATTGAGTTTATGGTTCACCTGAATATCTTTACCTGGGTTAGATTCTTCGTCTGGATGATCATAGGTAACACTCATACAACAACTTCTTAAGTAGATTATTCATAAACGTTTAAGGATTCCTACGAAGCAAGCGTTCATCGTAAATCTGCAGAGTGAAATGCGATAGACACATATTGCTTTGTCGCTAAAGTGAAGTAATAGAAATAGTACAGAATCTTAAAGACAAAAGAATAGTGAAAGCAAATAAACCCCGCTGTGAGTCTCAGTGGTGTGGATTTACATTTCTTGTCAAAAATGTATCTGTATCGATATACGGTTATACAGGATTTATCGAAAACCGTTGAATAAAAGAAAAAATGTCGCGACACCTCAACATATTTGTCCTCTTTAACCTACAACTACGAGTCCCTCCCCACTTCAGTTGACCCACTTCAAGATTTGTACCAAAATATGCCTTTATAAACTAAACATGACGAAACTATTTACTTCTAAAACAATTTATTTTCTCAAAAACATTTTAGATACACTCTAGTCGTAAAAAATATATATTTGAAATCACTTAGACCTAAAAAATAATAGAACATCTGAACAACTAAACAATGTGCGAATAAATGCACGAAGTTAACGAAGCAACAATTGAAAGATTACCATTGAGTAACATCACCTTTATTTTTTATTACGGCTGAAATTCTTTGGGGCCTAGTGTTAACCAAGTTTTGGCAAAAATTTGGTGTAAAACAATCCCATATTTCCTGAAGCTTTTGTCTCAGTTCGGTGATTGTACGAGCAGGATGTTGTCGTAGAACCTTTTTCATCGCGTGCCACAAAGTTTCAATAGGTGACAGATCTGGACTGCTAGAAACCCATTTCAAAGGTGGTACATTATTTTCTTCCATCCATTTTATAGCCTTTTTGAAGTATGGCACGCTGCACCATCTTGCTGAAACACAAAATCTTGGCCGGATGTCAAACATTCTTCCATCACTGGTAAGAGCGATTCTTCTAAAATTGCCAAATATTTGTTTGTATCCACATTTCCATCAATAAATTGAAGTTTTCCTACTCTTTTTGATGACACACTGCCCCAGACCATAATGGATGCTGGCAATTTCACTTTTCTCTTCAGACAGTCAACATGGAATGCTTCATTTTTTTGCGAATAACTCTACTGCGACTGTCACCAACACAAACTTCGAATCGGGCCTGATCACTCCATTCTATTGCACACCATTGTTGAGCAGTCCATTGTCTATGTTCTCTAGCCCATCTAAGCTGAGTTTTCTTTTGCAGTGCAGTTCATAGTGGCTTTTCTTTGGCCTATAAACAAGTTGTGCAACTTTAGGGTTTTTCCTTCACTTTTTTAATGAAAACCTACCTTGCAAGTGCTAGATCCCAGTTTGTGGGCCTCTCTATGAGTTGTGGACCTCGAAATTCTTTTTCCAACAGCGTCACCCCACAGAGCACTTAATTGTACATAATTGGCACGCCTGTTTTTCACGATTATTCTTCTTAACGCTCTTCGGTCGGCATTTGTGATATTACTTTTTTTCACATATCGTGTCTTAATATTAACTGAACCAGGTACGTTATATCTTCTAACAATATTTCCTACACTGTACCGCGATAACTCTAACAGAGTTGCAATTTCTGAATTTGATTTCCCACAATTAAAAAATTTAATTATCAGTAACCGAATTTTCTCACTAATTACCTTTCCTCATTACCCATTTTGAAAACCTTAACTACCCAATACTATTTTAAACGTATTCTGACAGCTGTGATTAATAAAAACAATTGTCATGGCTTTTATTTTCCACAGCCACCTGTGCGTTATAGACTTATTTTCCATTGAAATGAAAATAGGTTGATATGCTGTAATTGCAACGTGTTATTTTTATGCTGCAAATTTGATTAGGGAGTGATAAAGTCGGTGTTTTCTACTATCTATTATCAAAATATTCATTGTTAACATTTTAAACCTCTAACGCCCTGGTACATTTTTATTATTTGTGTTTGATAAGCAAAAAAACTAAGATTTCAATAGTTGGGCCAACTGAAGTGGGAAGGAGCTCGTACTTCAGGGGGTGAGAAGGGGTTTCAACCTCTGCCCCCAGGATCATCCTCTTAAAAATTTTAAATGACAATGGGTATCAAGTAATAGCTTGTTTGAAAGACTTCTCGAAGTCCTTTGTTTTGACGTTTAATTTTTACAAATCTGTCGATTTGTTTTCAAGAATATTGGAAATATCTTTGTTATCTCTTAGTTTGTTCAGGCAGAAAACAAAAACACATGAAAATATCATTTTCTGACGGATATTTTCAAAATCATGTTGTGAAATATCATGACAGCATTCGATGATGCGTTGACTCCATCTAAAAAAGTCTAATGACGTCAAATCAAGAGATCTAGCAGGCCATTCTATCCTATCCATTTATCTGGAAACTCGACGTCCAGCCATTGCCGAACCGGAAGAACATAGTGAGGAGGAGCGCCGCCTTTATATTTCAGCCTCATCAAGTATAGGGTTTCTATCCCCTTCGATTTAGTTTTCAATGATTTCTCAAAGCAACAACAGACCGTTTGAATCGTGCCTGCGAAAAGATTGTTTTAAACTTGATTTCAGGACTTCTTGACTCAGATTCTTGCGTGGTAATAGTCAATTCTTATTTCAGGAATGTTAGTCTACTTCCTCTATGGTATACATCATAGTAAAGAAGGCGAGGGCAACTCTTCTTATTCGATTTTGATGACGTCATCTGAAGCTGTAAAGGAAACTTGGGGTGCTACAAATAAGACAAACGTAAGGAAGGTGTTGGCTAGGAGGAAATCGTCGTCTGGTGCTATTATGGACGACAACGACGACGATAGCACTGAATAAGGATAATAACTTGTTTTCAAAGTTCAATATGAGTGTATACGTATAGGTCGTTTATTGTAATTATGTTGAAATTTTATGAATTATGAGATTTTACTCTAAGATTAAATATAATTTCGTAGAAATATTGTTTACTCTGTATTTTAGTCACCCTGAAATAGAAACGTGAGGAAGCTCGAAGCTTGATCAGAGATGAAGATTGAACAGACATGCCATTTAGGCTTTTCGGGCTGCTTAGCCGTGGTCGGGTTGGATTTGTTTTTTTTATATTCCAACTACCACGAAGGCCTAAGGCATAAACACCCATGGGCACCGTGGGGTTCCAGGGGAAAGGGAGAACGCCACACGGACTCTCGCGAGGAAACACGTGTGCATGAATCATGCACATATTCTGCGGGTACGAGATCCGCCGGTTGGTACCTCTGCGTTCGACAGTCAGAGACCGTCTACCACAGACGGACAATCACAACATCCATTGCCAATAGAAAAATTTCTCATGGGACGGGATTCGAACCCGCACAGCGCACGGCGACTAATCAGGAGACCGAAGAGTCTACTACTGCGGCCACCGCTGCTGCCTGCTGAGCCAGAGCTTTCGGCTACATCTGCAGTAGTCGACAGTTTCTTTCATACTCCTTGATGCGTGTTTGAAAGCTACGTTTAGTGGTGCATACGTATACTTTACTACGGGAACACGGTATTTTGTATACGCCGGCACTGCTCAGGGGGTCTCTAGGGTCCTTTAATGATGTTAGGAGTTGCTGGATTTTATTTGTCGGCTTGTGGATGGTCTTGACGTTGTGTTTCTGCAGCAACCTTCCTATTATATTCGTAATGCCTTTAATGTAAGGTAGGAAGGAGACTCCCGGAGGTGGTTCGTCGTCTGCTGCCGGCGGTCTGGTTTTTTGTCGTGAAACCTGTTTTATTTGTTCCCTGCGATAGTCGTTTGCTCGTAAAACCATGTTAACATGATCTAGTTTCCCCTAGAGCTACAAAATCGATGTACCGCGTCTATCAGATTTTTAGTACACCTCTTTTTTGTCCAGGATGATGGTTGGAGTCCCTGTGTAGATATCTGTCAGTGTTTGTTGCTTTGCGGTAAACTCTGTGACCCAGCTTTAAGTTCTCTCGTCTGATCACCAATACGTCCAGGAAGGCCAGTTGATTGACCTCGTTTATCTCCATTGTGAATTTGATTTTAGGTGATTTAGGAATAGTGCTAGTTCTGTTCTTCCGTTTCTATACGTACATACCACAAAGGTATCATCCACATACCGTAGCCAACAACTGGGACGATTGGTTGCGGTGTTCAGTTCTGCTTCCTCGAACTTTTCCATGTCGAAAGTGGCTTTTACCGGGCTTAGCGGACATCCCATTGCGACGCCGTCGGTTTGTTCATAAAATTGACTGCTCCACTGGAAATATGTAGCTGTTAGCCATCCGCAATGATCTTATTTGCAAATAAAACTCTGAGATTAGCGTAGCACTGAGAAATTAGATAGTTTAGATGTTCAGCAAATTTCTATTATAACACCTAAGTTCTTCGAGTGATCCACAGGTACTATACTAAGTGACATATACATCCAAACACCCAGTTTGAATGGTTTTATTTTAATACAATTTTGTATAAGTACTTAATGAAGCATAATAAGTAAATTATAAAAATTTCAAAATGATTGCACTGCTTTAAAGCCCTTTGACCTTTAATAATGTGTGGATGCACCCTGATGTGCTACGCATTCTCCAACGCACCTAGGCATGCTTCTGACCAGGTGGTCAATGTCCTCCTGTGGTATCTCATTCCAGGCAACCACCAACTCCTCTGGACGTGCTTCTAGAGTCTGAGGAGGACGCTGCAAATTGAGCAATCTCCTACTCATCATATCCCACACGTGCTCAATTGGGGATAAGTCGGGAGATCTTGGTGGCCATGGTAACAATGTGACATCATTATGTTGAAAGAAGTCTATTGTGACTCTTGCAATATGTGGTCGGGCATTATCTTGTTGGAAAGTAGGATCTGCCAGGGTGTCAAGATAGGGTAAAAGATGGGGTTCTAGAACTTGGTGGATATAACGCTGCTCGTTCATGTTACCTCTGATGAAGACTAAAGGTGACCTGGAACCATAAGCTATAGCACCCCAAACCATAACTCCAACAGTGTGATGAACATGTCTTTCAACAAAAAAGTGTGGATTCCTCCTTTCACCACGTCGCCTTCTAACCCTGGCACGACCATCGTGCATGCCTAAACAAAATCGAGACTCGTCATTAAAGTCAATACTGTTCCATTCCTGATCCCAGAGTGACCGTTGTCTGCACCACTCAAGGCGATTACGTCGGTGTTCTCGAGTTAAAGGGAGGACCCAGTGTGGCCGGTATGAAAACAAGCCAAAACTTCTCATTCGTCGGTAAACACTTCGCATGCCAATAGGTCTTCCGTGTTCTGCAAACCATTCATTTGCAATGGACCTGGTAGTGGAGAAACGGTCCCTTAAGGCCAATAATCTTAGGCGGCGATCTTCACGGTCTGTTGTTCTACGGCGGCGTCCAGTGCCCCTTGCTCTTTGCGTACGGCCTTCTCGAAGCCATGCCTGACAACACCGAACCACAGTGTCTACACTTCTTTGCACTCTAACTGCAATTGCCCGAAAAGAAAGTCCAGCTTCCCGAAGTCCCACTATACGGCCCCTATCAAACTCACTAAGTTGACGAAATCGTACAGGTCTCCGTACTCTAGGCATCGTAACCGATCGTAAAGGATGTCAAGAACCAAAATCCGCCTACGTTGATTCTTTACTGCGGCTGAAATATTCATTTTTAGAGCGATGGTGAATTAAAAAAAAGCAGTATAAAAACCGGAATGTCCAACTGATAAGGCTGACAATTTTTTCACTTGTTATTTACAGTAAGATAAATACATTCACCAACTTTTATTAAAATAAAACCATTTAAACTGGGTGTTCGGATGTATATGTCACTTAGTATAGTTTATTACCTTTTAAATTTATGTTTATGTCCTTTTTAAAGCACTCTTTTTTGTTTTATTTAGCTATACGAACATATTTGTCTTCAAAGGGTTCAAACGAAGATTATGACTTTTCAACTTAGACAAGAGCTTGATTAATTTTATTATTAGCACTTTCCAAGGCTCACTTTACCTCTCCATGTTACACGTCGGCCAACTAGAAGCAAACCACGCGACATAGAACCGGCTCGTCATCATGGCAAAACATAATTCTCCGAAGTTTGTACACGAACATTTTTCAAAAGGAATTTCTTCGACGATCACGTTTCCAGGGTTGTGCAAAATTCATATGCTAAACTAAAGACAATTTACAGTTATAAACATGTATTATCTAGTCAAACCAAGATCAAGCTTTCTAACTCTTTGATTCTCAGCAAAGTCGAATACGCTGATGCGGTGTATGGTCCATGCCTGACGCAGTCGGAAGCTTATACAATACAAAAAGTGCAAAATAGTTGTATTAGGTATGCATTAGGTGCTCCGGGAAGGGAACACATTACTAGATACACTAAGGATGTCAACTGGCTCACGATGCGTCAGAGATGGATTGTACACTTTTTGGTCATAGTACAGGCAGTCCTATTAACCAAATATTCAGCATATCTGAACAGCAAACTTTCATTTAGAAGTCAGCATCACTTACGCTTTGTAGGTTATACCCTCGATATGCCCATAAATCAACACAATTCACAAAGTGCTTCTCATACATAGCGCCTTCCCTTTATAATTGTCTATCATCAGATCTGAAAAGTTTGAGTAACAATAATTTTAAAGTTAAAATAAAGCAATTTGTTCTCGATAATGCCTAATCCTATACTAAGCTTTCATCTTGTAACTGCTCTGATTCTACATTAAGTGCCTGGTTGTGGTCTTTCTTTTTTCATTATTTCTCTTTCAGTGAGTGCGTGAGTGTATGTGATTTGAATCTGTCTACACATTTTACACACTATTATGTTGTATTTGTCACTTTTCACTACTATATGTCTTGATCATTATTTTTTTTGTATCTGTGATTTTTTTTATGTTTGTTAAACTTATGCAGCCCTGGTTGGTACCAAAAGCAGCTATTAGCTGATATACTCGCCAGATACAATAAAGCCATATTATTATTATTATTATTATTATTATTATTATTATTATTATTCAAGTTCATAATTTATGAGAATAAAACGTAATGCAAAATGGCAGTTTGAAATATACTCAATGGTTACAGAAAAAATAATTTATTCAACGTGTTTTTTTTGGCAGCATAATGACTATATTTAAAGCATGCCGTGGTAACAATGTCAACGTTTTATCTTTGTTTCTGTTTACCTTTGCTAAAATATTATCTCTTAGTTTACCAGTCATTGACCATCTCATTTTGTCGATGCCTAGACGAATACAGCTGCGGGGTCGCCCAACATTTCAGTTTTTGTTTCTTATTACTTGTCAATAAAATTCCGTGAGAATGTTATCGTTTCATTCATGATTGTCAAGAGAAACCTAGTTCAAGAAATTATTTTTTCTGGGCTTAACACTACTAATGTCGTTGAAAATATTAAAAAGATCTTTTTGGTCTAAAAAGTACTTATTGGTATTTGGATATCTGACTTAGCTCTTCAATAAAACCCTTCGTTCTTGGTAAGAGTTGATTTTTCAGTAATGACTGACCTGAAGTCATAAAAATAGCTTCAATGACATCATTTTTTAGTGAAGGACACTTCCCAAAAAACAGCTGGGTCTGAATACCGATCACTATTTAAGAGTAAGCATAACAATTGTATTTTGTACTATTTATTCCATCAACATTCATTTAAAATACATACAAATTTAAATACTCCATTTCTAAAACATAAACATTTATTTATATTTACACTAAAACAGGTTGATTATGTTGCACTACTTTTCGTCTCCCCCTGAAGCTGATCCGGAGTGAAGCTGTGCTCTCGCCCCCCGTATGAGGGCGCTGTTGTCACAGTTCCTCGGGGGGCTTCGGGGGGCCCAGGATGCCACTCTGCTTTCCCGCCATGGGACTGTGCATCATCGCCGGAGCGTTCAAGGTCGAAAAGTAACCGCCAGCCTTTGGCTTCACGTGCCTGTTGTTGATCTCCATGTGCACGATCTTCATGAATTCGATCTGGGCAGCCAGCTTCTGAATTTCTTCCTGTGAACCAAACAATACGCTTTACTACGAGGTCGCTATTCGGCTACGAAAATTCTAATTATGCAGAGTTGAGTTGATTTTAAAAAATCACAGATAAAACAACAAAGCGTAGGATAGATAATTTGTTAATAAAGTAGACACATGGGAATTTTATTTTTTTTAAATAGCGTCACTGAAATGTTGGCCGCGCTCTTCGAATCTCGACATCAAATTCGTGAAAACTTACTGGCACATCACAGGATAGCGAACATGTCTTCAAAAATGTTGTGCTTGAGCTGGTCAATCGTCGTCGGCTTATTGGCGTAAACGTGACTCGTGAGATATCTCCAGAGAAAAAATCCAGTATAGTGAGATCTGGGCTCCGGGGAGGCCATGGAATCACTCCTTGTAGCGTATCAGTTTTCCACTAAAAATTTCTAAACTGCTAAAGACTCGTTGGCGGTATATCGTGCCTTCTGGTTGAAACCAGGTCCTGCTATGGTAGGCTTCAAAGACATGCAGTTGTCGAAAGAAAAAGTTACGTAGCATTGTTGTCTAGTGACTACAATTTACTGCCACTGTCTGACCTTGCTCGTTTTCGAAGAAATAGGGCCCGATGATTCCTTCAGCAGACTATAGCATAACGCGAATGCAAAGGTCGTTGGTGTTTTAATTTGGGATTTTAATCCACTCAAATGAAAGTCAGCTTCATCAGAAAAGAGAATATTGTTCAAACTGGGAAAGCGCTCTAACGTCATACCGGCAAACGTAGGGTGTAGATGGTGGTCCTATGGTTCCAATACAAGTTTATAGTCAACGCCAAACAAAGTGGCGTGCACGTCATCACGATAAAAATTCCCCGACCTAATGCCTAGGTTTCTATCACAAACAATTGCTCTATTGCAGTTTCATATTAATGTGGTATATAAATTGTAAAATGGTCATTACTCTCTCATTATGGTTAATAGTCATATAAACATTGTTATTAAAATATCACATAAGTTGCTTTCTGATAAATTTAGACGCATTATGCGAAATAAAATGTTTTGCAAACGCTCCAATCACTTATCGACATGTAAACGCACTAAACCGATTTCGCAGCGTTGACACATTGTCACCTTGAAACTTATTTAAACTGGGAACTGACATTTGTATTAATTTTGACACTGAATCAATTTGTGGCATTTCAAATCTTTATAAATCCTTTGGCCCCGCATAGTGTAAATCAACAACTGTTTGTTTCAAAACAAAATTATTCATTTTACGAGTAGATAAAGGCAATTTTGGTATATAAAGATGCCCAAACAGTTAAATAGTCGGTGTAAGGAACTCGTGGCCTCGTTAATGCACTACTTTGAGCAAGAAAGGGACAACAACGGGCCTTTGTTGCCTTTAAATGCTGTTCAAGAGGTAGGTTACTAATAATTATATGTAATGTATATTAATAATAGTGAAATTTTATTTCGTTTTTTGTAGCGTGTTGCTGCTGCTTTAAAAATTAGTTTAAGGACAGTTAGTCGTATTTCCGAGGGTGTGAAAAGTGATGCAAATTTAGAATCGCCCAAGAAAAAGCGGAGTTATATTAAACGTGTAACCAACACAGCAACATTGGATACAAGTGCCATTCGAGAAGTGATCTATAATATGTATCACAAAAGTAAGATCTTATTATAATAACTTATCAGAAATTTGCATTAATTTGTTAACTAAATTATAATGTCATATTACACATGGTTTCAGAAGAACAAGTTACGATACAAACTTTATGGTCTCGATTAAGAGATAGGGCATTATTTGATGGTAGTGCCACGTCTTTAAGGCGGTTGCTTAGAGATCTTGGATTTAAGTGGCTTAAGGACAATCCGCGACGAGGGCTCATGGAACTACCAAGTATAGCTTTGAAAAGGGTGGAATTTCTAAGGCAATACAATCAAGCCAAGGTTGAGGCCTTATACCAGTTTGTCTTCCTCGATGAAACTTGGATATTTCAAAATGGGACCATAGGTCGCTCTTGGCAAAATGGAAACCAAAAAAGCGTGAAAGCTATTAAAACAGATGGTAAAAGGTATGTACTTTTACACAATTTGCACTATAAAATTTAAAACTAATATATTTTAGATACATTATATTACATGCTGGAAATGAAAATGGGTTTATTGAGGGTAATGAAGCGATATTTTCTTCGAAAACAAAATTGAGCGATTACCATGGAGAGATGAACCAGGACAATTTTTTGAAATGGTTTCAACATCAGTTATTAGAAAAATTGGAGAGTCCATCTATGATTATACTGGATAACGCCCCTTATCACAGCATGATATTGAACAAAGTGCCCAACAATGCATGGACAAAAAAAAATATCCAAGACTGGTTGACAAATCAAAACATACCATTTTTAAACACAATGTTTAAAACAGAGCTATTGAGTATTGTTGCTCGGTACATAATGCTTCTTAATTATATATATTTTGGTCGACAGTTTATATTTCTTTTGTTTATTCCTATTCTTAAAATAACTGCTTTTTTAGAAACAAACCACCTAAAATATACGTTATTGATGAATTGGCGGAACAACATGGGCACAAAGTTCTTCGTCTGCCTCCTTACCATTGTATATGTAACCCTATTGAGTTAATTTGGGGCATAGCAAAAGGTTAGTATAACAGACATATTGGTAGAGATGGTAACAGTGAAAAAGACTGTTTGGATATGTGGAACGAGGCTCTACAAACGGTTACCCCAGACATGTGGAAAAATAGTGTTCGACATACTGAGCAAGAAATTTTTAAATGGTATGAAAGAGAACGAATTTTTGAACATCAGACATCGAACCATTAATAAACAACTTTGAGAGTGATGAAGATTCAGATTCAGACAGCGCTGAAGAAAGAAACTCCGACTAACTTTATTGTACAGAACAAGCTTACACCAGTAGCTTACCTAATTTTAGAATGCATTTTTCTGTATGAATTCTGTAAAATAAATACCATGCATAAAATTTGGAGGACCCCATTTGGATTTTTATTCAGTACCTTTAAGCTATCAATTAAATATGGTAGTTTCATAGTGTCATCTGATCAATAATTGTCATACTTAATGATTATGCAAGTACAGATCTATAATTTTATTATACTATTATTGTTGTTCTCATTTGAGGTTAATATTGCTTATAAACCTAGATATGTAAATAATAAATTTTATTATTTTACAAAAAGTTTGGCAACAATGTAAATTTTTGAACACACCCACCTTGATGACGTGCACGCCACTTTGTTTGGTGTTGACTATATATGGATGCAATTTAAGGGTCTTTTACTAAAATACGCCTTACAGATGTTCTTGATATGGCAATCTCAGCTTATGCCTCTTGGGCCACGTAATATATTATGTCTTCAAGACTACATATTTTTATACAAAATTTCACTACTATCAATTCTGGTTTTCCATGAGACATTTTTTCAATTCCTCCTTGAACATTTTCAAAATGACACACATCTTGATATCATTACTTAATTTATTAAATCCGTACAATCCCTTTTGGAATACTGACTTGCTCGTTATATTACTACTTCAGTTTTGTTCAATACAATAAAATTTTGTAAGTGATTTAGTAGAAGATGATTTTTTTACTTGAATATGAAAATGGAAACCAAGTAGGTCCTGATATTTTTGATATTTAACCATTGTAGTTCCTTCTGCATAAAATTGATTCTAGTATATTTAGTTTTATTTAAGATTCTCATCGCTTTATTTTGTAATATTTGTAATTTTGTAAATACAGTTTACTTTGGAGTGAACAAAATAGTCGAACAATATATAACAAATTAGGAAGAATGATAGTGTTTTACACATTTTTTTAGAATAAAAGTAATTCATATTCATAAATTTTATTTTTCTATCTACGTATATGCCCAAATATTTAAATGATTTTATTGACACAATTTTTTTATTATTAATCGTAATATTTATCGTACTTTGATCTAAAGAGTTTCCTGTTAGCAGATATTTTGTTTTGTTTGAGTTTATTCACGCTTAACTAATTTAGTACGTTTTGCATATCATTATTTAACAGCTCTATTGCAGTTTAAACGTCTTTATTCGATATACAGGGTTATCCAATTTAAGTGTCCACCATTAGTAACTTTGTTATTAGTGAAAATAAAAAGTTGTTTGAATTAGCAAACTAGTAGCATTTTTAACGCTGGTAAAAATGAGAAATAAAAAAAAACCAATGAGAGTCGTTATTTTGATTTTTTTCAGTAAAATAACATTTTTTTAAATGGAAACCCCTGTATATTATATTTTTTTCTGTTAAAGCATCAAATTTTAAACAAAAAAGCTTACAATAACTTTTCTCCTAGGTTACAAATTGTTGAAGTTATGGCCTCCAATCTGAAACAATTAAATTGTATCGACAAACTTTATTTTCAACTTATAATCTTACAAAATACAATAACAATTTTTTTTAAAGAAGATGCTCGAAAACACCACCTTGTTCTTCAATACATTTTTGGGCACGTTTTTCAACTGCTCGAACTGTCTTAAGTATGGTCCTACCATCTATCTGGGTTATCTTTTCCCTAACTGCAGTTTTTAACGCGTCAAGGTTATCGTACCTTCGCTTGTAAATTTGGTTCTTTAAGTAACCCCACAAGAAGTAATCAAGTGGGTTTAGATCTGGTGATCTGGGAGGCCACTGTATTGGGCCATTTGTTCCTATCCACTGATCATTAAAAGTAGTACTTAGAAAATGATAAGTACCTCTGGTGCGCCATCTTGCTGAAAATGCAGATGATGTCTACTTATAAGATCCAATTCGTCTAAGAAATTAGTCAGAATTTCTGACATAAATTCCACATATCTTTCACCAGTTAGGGTTCCCTCATAAAAGAACGGGCCAACAATTTTTGAACCAATTTTACCGCACCAAACGTTGAAACTGAAACGGACTTGTGGGCCTCTTGGATGTACTAACAAAAGATTTTCTCTTGACCAATAATGGTGGTTTTTTCTATTAAACATTCCAGAATTTGAAAAATTTGATTCATCTGTCCATAAAAGGTAACGAAAGTTATTTACATTTTGGCGACAGAAGCTAAGATACCTATGGCAAAAAACAAGTCTTCTCTCTGGATCCCCTGCCAAAAGCGTTTGAACTGGTCGGTACTTATACGGAATAAATTTGTATTTTTTTAAAATCCTTTGAACAGTACCATAACTGAAATTAGAGTCCTTGAGAATATCTGCTATTGAATTCTCACGATAAGCTTCAAAATATCCAATAACTGCAATTTCCGTGGCCTCGCTTATTATGAATTCTTTTTTTGCCCTTGTTTTAGCAAAAACATTTTCGTTGCCCCTAAATTTTCGATAAAGTCTCAGAAAATATCGTTCATACTTTAGCGGAAAAGTCATTATGAACTTTTTTGTTTAAAATTTGATGCTTTAACAGAAAAAAATATAATATACAGGGGTTTCCATTTAAAAAAATGTTATTTTACTGAAAAAAATCAAAATAACGACTCTCAATTGTTTTTTTTTATTTCTCATTTTTACCAGCGTTAAAAATGCTACTAGTTTGCTAATTCAAACAACTTTGTATTTTCACTAATAACAAAGTTACTAATGGTGGACACTTAATTTGGATAACCCTGTATAACTCAAAATATTGCACCTTCGGAACAGGAGTAATGTTTTTTTAATTTCGAAGGAAATTCGCCATATACTAAACAGTGATTCACTAGCAATAATAACTTCTCTCCAATAATGTTAAAACATTCTTTCAGAACCATTTTAAAAGATGTTTACCAGGATTTATATTCGATTTCAATCTTGAAATAGCTTTTGAACGGAGGCTGATGTTTATTGTTTGAAATCGACTCAGAAGAAACTATTATAAGTAACTTGCATGTGACACAGGTTTGGATCCCCATCTTCGATTGACTCCTCTATCTCGTTTCTACTTTCTATACAATAAACGTTCATTCGTTCTGCAATCAATATTTTTTGTGTTACTATACCTTCTTCGAAGCACATTCTCGATAATTCATTCCCTGGGAGATGCAATATATTTTAGTGTCTTCCACATCAGTTTACTGTTATTTTTATTGCTGTCGATTGTGTTTTCATAATATTTTTTCTTTTCATTCCCAAGATTTGTTAAACACTTGTGTCTTGATTTCTTATATTGTATCCAATCTTCCTCATTTTGAGCGATCATAAACGTTTTATAGTCATTATAACTAGTAAATTTAGAGTCTGAAAATATTTGTGACTTTTTCCTTTGATATACCACTTTCCTAATTTGTGCTTTTATTTGTGATATTAGCTTATAGGGGTGATTCTCGTAACGTTTCAAAGTCAATAATTGTGATTTCTCTTGATTCCATCTCATTAAACATATTTTCCACCTCGAAACATATCCACGAATGGTCGCTTATTTTTGGAGTATGTAAAACCTTAATACTCAAATTCGGGTCGCTGGTTATTATTAAATCTATCTTAGTTCGTGAAAAGATGGTAATCCTTGTGTAGTCATTAAATTTTTACCATGAAAGTTCGGCACTTATTTAAATTTTTTTACATAAAAGTCTTGATTATCAAAATTTATATTGAAGTCTGCCAAGTGCACAGTGGAGAATTTTCGATACTACTGTTCTTGACAAACATTCTCAAAAAAGTCTAAACAATCGGCTAATATTACAGCTTGGAGACCTGTAGTAAACGTGTACATTATAATTTCTTTTCATCTTGATTTCAAAATTAAGCAGGTTTCTGATGCAGTGTCGAACCGGTAGACTTGAACTTTCTGACCCGCGTCCTGATCACACTTTCACTATGGCGTTGATTTAGATCATGTAAACTAAAGTCAGAGCGAAATAGACGCCGTTCAAATCTAAATTTTTGCTCACCGGTAAAACGCTCCATGGCGACTAAATTTCCGAGCACCAAGCTACTTATCAGCAATGCGGTTTTGAAATCCGTACGTTTTTCTGGACCACCCCGTTCTTAGTGCTTTATATTTCAGAGACATTTTAATCTCATTTGAGATCTTGCTCATACACGGGAAGTAAGAGGAACAAAGTGCAAATGAACTGTCATATTCTCTGACATTATTTGGAAACACTTACCTTCAATTCCTCATTTTCTTGACACAGATCGGGAGTATCTTCGGGCACCAAGCCAATTCCGTTCAAAGAGAACGAAGCTGTCACGCCACGTGACCTTGCTCGACTGTCCCACTGGTCGCCTTGTCCTCTGAGTACCCTGATGATCTGCGAGCATATAAATCAATTATGGTAAAAAAAAATCTGAGCTGTCACTAAATGCGTCTGTTTCGTTTTCGATGCGCCACCCTGTATACTAACATATCTGTATCCTTTATGAGAATAAGTACTTTTTCGCAGGACCTCAAAAGCATCCCCTTCCGCTTCTGTGATAACCCTCACATCCTTGAACATATACGTGGTGAAATAATAAACATCTTTGGACTGGACGCCGAAGTATAATTTAACGATCAAATGAACTTACCTCAAGGTAGTTCGATCGAAATTATATGAGGCGTACGTCCAAAGATGTAAGCTCCCTCATAGGCGCTACCCTGATGGGTTATGAACAAAACGGATTGTAAACGATTGTAGGAGGTAAGTATAGCGGTATGTACAGGGACACGAGCGTAACATGAGAGGGGGATTTTGCTTTAAAACCTTGAGGCTGATAGCACGACAGGGCAGACTACGTGGTTACATAATAAACATCTTTGGACTAGACCTCTTTTCTTGAATTTGAGGGAGTAGAAAAGTGGGTGTGGCCAAGAAATGCAGTATTCTTGAAATCAATTATACTGAAAAGTGATAAAAATGAATTCATTTTAAGGAGTCGCGATTGCTCTTGGCGTTGAACAAGAGAAACTAAAAAAATTAGTAGAAAATAGCGCTATATAACCTATAAATTGACGTGTGTGGCATTGTTATTGTCGTTCCTGCTAAACATACTGCAGAAAAATGGTTAATTGCAATCAACTGTATTGGAACGATATTATTATCGAGGATGTAGAGGAGACAGTTGAGGAATGGGAGGTTAAGAGATATTCTTGGGTACTGCGATCCTTTCATAATTTCGGATCGAAAATTTGTACAGGTGTTTGGTTTGACCAAAGATTTGGTCTATGAATTGCTGGAGATAATGACTCCATTCATACAACCACCCTCGCGAGCTTCTACACTTTCGATCAAAATTAAGGCAACAGTAGATATTAAGTTTTATTCATTCTAAAACAGTATCCTTTAATCTAAGATTGAATTTTCCCTGGTGCGTTTGGGGGTGCTCTCGGAGAAATTCAACCATTTTATGCTCTTGTTCATTTGTGATGTGCTTTTTTAAGTTTTCGGCTCCATAGATAAAATTATAAGGAGGAAATCTTGATCAAAATCTGTGGTTAGTTTTTGACTGTCGAAATGATGTTTTTGGTTTGGCTTGACACGTTTACTCAAACCTGACAACCATGTGTCTTGATTTCCTTTCTCTTTTCTATCGAGACTTTCAATTATACAGTATCTTCGAATCGATAGAAAACTGGAGGATTGTGATTTTCTATTAAAGTCAAGAATCGGGGCACTGCACGCCTCATAATTTCGATCGAACTTCGTTAAGGCAAGTTCATTTTATCGTTAAATAATTGCGGGATGGGAAGAGCAGGCCCTCGCTCTCCTGATATGAACCCCTTGGACTAATTTCTCTGGGAATACCTTCGAGCGTTGGTATACAAAACTCTCATTGAAAGTGAAGACGATGACAGAATCATAAATGAGAGTGTGTAATTCAATGATGAGATTGCCAGACTAGTATTGAAGCCCAACACAATTTAGCGAAATTTGTTAGACTAGATGTTAATGTTATCTAGTGTTTATCTGTGGTTTGTTACATAATGATAAAAAAATAAAAAAAAATCCAAAATAAATGTTTCTCCATATTCCTTGTGTGGTCCATGCAATTAAGTGGAGTTTTTTTTCTCGAAAACTAAGCAAATTAAGAAAAAAATCATGAATTCATCACGAAGAATTTGCGGACAATACAGGGTGTCCGCAAAGTTGGGGTTATCCTTTTCAGAAACAACTACCGTTGAAATAACAAAGGTAATGTGTAGTGAAACGAGGGCGACCAAGTAAAAAAAAATAAAGGAAAAAGTACTCACTCTCCAGTTGACGAGAAGGGCTAAGTACGTCTCTGCCCGAAATCATACCGCTCCAACAGAAAATGAAATCGGCTGAAGCGCTACCGAGCAGACGCAGAAACCACATTGATTGTCTTACACTTAATCGCACATCTTCTAACAAGGAAGGCAAAATGTTGCGTGAAAAGTGTAGGTATTGCATCCCGTAAAATCGATTTGGGAGAATAAATGGTCCAATGAGCATACCGTTCACCATGCCAGCCCAAACATTCACCGAAAATGTTTGTTGAAAATGTGCCCGACGGACAGCGTGCGGATTTTCTACTGACCAAACATGAGTGTTGCGAAAGCTATTCACCCCATTACGCGTGAACGTAGATTCGTCTGTCTCCAATATGCACTTCAAAAAGTCCGGATTATTGTCATGTTGATGCAACAACCACTCACAAAACCGCACTCTTGCTGGGAAATCGTCAGGTTGAAGGGCTTGTACACGTTGGACGTGAAACGGATACAGCCTCTCTTCACGCAGCGTTTGCCACACTTTAGTTTTTGATACTTGCACTTCTCTAGCCACGTCTCTAGTGCTTGTTGAGGGATTCTCGTCTACGCGATTACCTCTACATGCGTGACCGTAACCGTCGGTTGAAGGTTACATACTAACCTGACACACTGACCCCGACCCAGTTCTGCCGTCGGGTTGAGACCTTGTACCAATCGGTGATGTCTCGAGTGGCGGCTACAGGACGGTATTCAGATATTTTTGATGTTGCAGAGCCCTTTATCTTGGTTCAATTAAGACATTGGTGTATATGGTACTAAGAAAAATTGCTTATGTTTTCAAGATCTACACGTCGTGTAAAGGAAAACCCCAACTTTGCGAACTTTTTGCCTATCACTCTAAAAATCGTCTATTAAATTATTGTACCCTGTATATCGATCCAATTGTAGTGCATACTCACTTTGGGACCAAATACGAGCGCAATGGTCGTAGTAGTGGAAAATTGCGTCCTGATGAATCCCAATAAGTACTTTATGTCCGGTCCGGCTCGTGGGAAAATGAACAAGCTGCAAAATGAAAGTGCAATTAGTCGAGTCGTTCAGCATTTCAAAAACGGTTTTGTTTATAAATCGCCATCACTCGACAAACAAATCAATAGTCGATATATTACGGCTTTAAGCCATTAAGTAGGAGTTTCTAGCTAATGATACTGTTGGACAAAGAATTGGAGACTAACTCGGTAGTTCCCGTGTACACTATCGTTCAAAAGTGTTTGAACATCTGCATATTTCCATTTAAAATCATAACAAACAAAAAGAAACTATTCAGTACGTATTTATTTTTCTTTATTTACCCATGATTTGCCAAGCTGTAATTAAAGGTAAAGGAGGACATATTGATGAGTCAAAAATATGATTATTTTGATTATAAATAGTTATATGTCGTTAAGAATTAAGAAAATAGATGTTTCATACAGATATTGTAAGGTCCTATTACTTTTCGGACAAACCCTGTACGTTAGCATAGTCAGTATAAGCACACAACATCGAATTTAAAATTATAAATAATAAAGATATCACTCATTTTGACGCTACGTCTATCTGCTGTTCTCCGTCAAGACTTTCTTAATGTCTTTCCTCTTCACTTTTCATATTTACTTGTCAACTCAGTTCCTATTATAAAGCACTAACTCTGTAAAAATCCAAACTGTTGCCATACAGATTCCGATATTGTGAAAGCACAACTGGGTATCATTTTATATACTGTATCCTTAGGATATCCAACATGGTCGTAAAGAGATCAAAGAAATACATTTTTGCTGACTGTTGTATTTTCTTCGCTAAACTCATTTTTGTCCTTAATTAAATATGTAAGGCTGTCAGTGTCACGATATATCAAATTGAGTATACTTACTGAAATGCAATCATCATAATATTGACTATGGCGATATTGTAGATGGCGTAGCTGATCAATCTAGCCTCGTTATAGTGTGATTCTGCATTCCTCACGTTGTAGCAGACTCTTATACCCCATGCCAGGAACAATACTTCACCTAGAATATGAAAATACAACTAAGAATTGTTGGTACTCGTTACTGTACCGCTACCCAGTGTTTTTAATAGTTTTATTACGTTGACAGCAACCAATGCTATAGTACTTTCGTACTGAATCAATGTTTAGTTATGAGTTTGAAACTGCCGCAGTCTTGTTATGCATGGGTCAAAATCAGAGAGGTAAGCATTATGCTTCTGACAAGGTTTTTCCTAATCAAATAACATGATATTACGACATTAATTATACTAGATCCGAACACCCAGTTTAAATGGTTTTATTTTAGTAAAAGTTGGTGAATGTATTTATCTTACTGTAAATAACAAGTGAAAAAATGTTCAGCCTTATCAGTTGGACATTCCGGTTTTTATACTGCTTTTTTTTAATTCACTAACGCTCTAAAAATAAATATTTCAGCCGCAGTAAAGAATCAACGTTGGCGGATTTTGGTTCTTGACATCCTTTACGATCGGTTACGATGCCTAGAGTACGGAGACCTGTACGATTTCGTCAACTCAGTGAGTTTGATAGGGGCCGTATAGTGGGACTTCGGGAAGCTGGACTTTCTTTTCGGGCAATTGCAGTTAGAGTGCAAAGAAGTGTAGACACTGTGGTTAGGTGTTGTCAGGCATGGCTTCGAGAAGGCCGTACGCAAAGAGCAAGGGGCACTGGACGCCGCCGTAGAACAACAGACCGTGAAGATCGCCGCCTAAGATTATTGGCCTTAAGGGACCGTTTCTCCACTACCAGGTCCATTGCAAATGAATGGTTTGCAGAACACGGAAGACCTATTGGCATGCGAAGTGTTTACCGACGAATGAGAAGTTTTGGCTTGTTTTCATACCGGCCACACTAGGTCCTCCCTTTAACTCGAGAACACCGACGTAATCGCCTTGAGTGATGCAGACAACGGTCACTCCGCTATCAGGAATGGAACAGTATTGTCTTTAGTGACGAGTCTCGATTTTGTTTAGGGATGCACGATGGTCGTGCCAGGGTTAGAAGGCGACGTGGTGAAAGGAGGAATCCACAGTTTTTTGTTGAAAGACATGTTCATCACACTGTTGGAGTTATGGTTTGGGGTGCTATAGCTTATGGTTCCAGGTCACCTTTAATCTTCATCAGAGGTAACATGAACGCGCAGCATTATATCCACGAAGTTCTAGAACCCCATCTTTTACCCTATCTTGACACCCTGGCAGATCCAACTTTCCAACAAGATAATGCCCGACCACATGTTGCAAGAGTCACAATAGACTTCTTTCAACATAATGATGTCACATTGTTACCATGGCCACCAAGATCTCCCGACTTATCCCCAATTGAGCACGTGTGGGATATGATGGGTAGGAGATTGCTCAATTTGCAACGTCCTCCTCAGACTCTAGAAGCACTTCGAGAGGAGTTGGTGGTTGCCTGGAATGAGATACCACAGGAGGACATTGACCACCTGATCAGAAGCATGCCTAGGCGCGTTGGAGAATGCGTAGCACATCAGGGTGCATCCACACATTATGAAAGGTCAAAGGGCTTTAAAGCAGTGCAATCATTTTGAAATTTTTATCATTTACTTATTATGCTTCATTAAGTACTTATACAAAATTTGATTAAAATAAAACCATTCAAACTGGGTGTTCGGATTTATATGTCACTTAGTATATTTTAAAATGTAGGTATTGTGCATAATTACCAGGCACTTAGCATATTTATTTTTTTTAATAATGTTTTATACCATGTTTCATAGTTCAGAAGTCAAAAATGACAACATTTACGAACTAAAACTGTCATATTTTTATATTAGCTTTGAAAATCATTAAATTAGGAATATATCTATAAATTAAATTCATATCATTTTAATTTCTTCAGATTTTGGCTATTCAAATGCTGTCTGGCATTTATCAAATCATTCCGTGAACGCGGTTGGCGTTGGTCGATGTAATTAGAACAACAAACAATAGGTGGCGTTAGAGAGCAGCTACGTGAAGTTCATTATACAAAAAAACGGCGTGTGTCGTATTTACGGAAAAATGGTAAGTACTGCTTCATTTGATATGATGTATGTGACGTACTTTAATTCCTGTCACTACGGGAACGCTGTTTGATGATTAGTTTTTCGCAAATTTGCATATTTCTTTCAAAATAATGATTAATATTACAGTTCCCTTGTTCATAGCCGCCAAAAATAATATCTAAAATGGCGGCGTCAAGCGTGACATTAAATTGTTCATCGAATAGTCATTTTGGGAACGGTCATTTCGTGAACGTTCTCGTCTATGACGGGCTGTCCCGAAATGACTGCCTATGAACAAAATAATACTCTAACTTGTTTAAAAAGCATGCCTATACTAAATTTTGGTTTTAGGTATCTATTTAGTACAAGTAACATGGAAAACAATAAAAATGAGGAGAATAATATTTAGAAAAACAATGATTAATACAGGATAGCATAGCTTATAAGAGGCATCGTGAAAATGCTAATGCAAGGAAACGCAAGTTTTTAGATAACATGACACCTGAACAAAAAGATATGAAGAGACTGAAATATTATCAAAGAAAGAAAGCTGACGAGAAAGTAAAGACTGGTAGTGAAGAAAAACTTGAAGGCAAAAAGAGAACTGAAAGATAATTTAAAAGAAACTGACATAATGATTCAAATTGATTTCGCTGAAAATTACATGACAAAAAGTGGAAAAGAGATTCAATCAATTAGATTAGGAGCTTCAAAAACGATACGTTTCTACAAACTGTTTCATTTGCCACTGTGAGTAATAATTTAGACCATCAGGTTCATGCTATATGTCAATACAGTTGCAGATTTTGTGCATTCACTAACAGATTCAACTATTTTACTCAATGAAGTCACGGACGACGAAATAGTTACAACAAAAGACATAATACCTTAAAACATGATGCTATCTCCGAAACCATGAATGTAACTAAGATTGTTTGGCAGAATACTTCTGATGTGTCAATTGTATCAATTTTCAAAACTAGTGCGAGAAATTAAATTGCTGTCATTTCCAGTTGAAGATATAGGAATCTTTTCAAGTCAAGCGCCGTCAGAAATGATTTAAAAATACATCTAGAGTTCCTGAGTCCTATTCATATCAATAGAGAAAGCATTTACGTCGCCGTGTACGGATCAGGCACTTCAGATGATGGGAATCTCCAAACGGTTTCAGATCCTCTTCATGAAAAGAATGACGATAGTGATGCTGGTACATCGTACGGAGAAGACAAGGATAACTTGCATCCAAACTTGATACACCCAAAGACGCATTTGAAAAGTAATGTGGTTACAGTTAATAATACTGAGTCTTTTTATATTAATTTTACGTAATTTGTTTTTTCTTTGGAATTACCAAATTCGTGATTTTGTTAGACTTGAGTTCAAACTTTGAGACCCAACTTACATTGTGATATTATGCAATTATACTTCGAAAAACATTTAAAACTACCTTCCGTGTTGTTTTATTTCCATATGCAAAACTTAAAAGGCATCCCTCTTAATACTAAAACGTTTATTTTATTTTAATGCATAAAATATGTCAAAAACCAGGTGTTGCGTTCGTTCGGAGAACGTCAAGGTCATTTAGAGAACTTCATGATCATTTCGGGAACATCCCCACCATTTCCGGGAACGTCATAAAAACGGCAAACAAATCACTAATACGTAACGTTATATTCAAATTTTACAAATACCAGATGAAATGACCTTTGGGCTATGGTATTTATATTATTATTAGGGGAAGGTCGGGTAAAGTGGTCACCCTAAGCCTTGAACGCATGCCAAACAAATAAATGTGAACCTTTTTCAAATTCATTATATTTTCCCACTAGCTAATATAGTTTCGATATTACATAGCTTTTAAACGATTGTTCTGATAATTTAAGCGTAATTTAATATTTAAGCCGAAATGGGATGTTGACCACTTTACCTATCCTGGTCGGGTAAATTGGCCCATACAAATTCATAATCGGGTAAAGTGGCCTACTTCAAATAAAATGATAATAAAATAAAGATTTATTCAAATTTTGCATAGAAAAAATATTTATTGTAAGCAACAACACTATCACAATTGTTCAGGTAATTGTTTATAACTCAAAGTCTTTTGATTGTTTATACTTATAAAATTATTAAATAAATGTAACTTTCCTTCATTTAATGACAAACTAATTAAAGTTTTAATTACTAAACTATGAAATGCAAATAACAAACTCTTCATTATTCATTAATATTCAATAAAAAGAAAATATTCTCACGAACAGAATTCGCAATGAAAGACATCATCGGCGTCATCACAACCCGAGCATGTTTCATGGGCCCATCGCTTGCAGCTAGAGCACTGTATCCAGCCATCTTCATGTTTTGATTTAGACCAAACTTCCCCACAGTAAAAGCGTTCAGGGTCATCATCGGCCTCATCATCAGTATCGTCACTTTTCTTAATTTTAGCATTGTTTGTATTTTTACCACGTTTTTTAACGTTGGTTTCAGCTTTAAGTTTTTTCCCAGTTTTAGTTGGTTCAAAAATAGCTTTAGTCACTCTCTTCAGTTCTTTTTTTTGTTGTTGCTGTGTTTTTTCTTCCTGTAACTCATTTTTATAAGGACTACTCGTTAAAATTGCTGTACCCCCTCTTTCTATTTATTTTTCTAATTTTAGCCAATGCTTTGGGAATCGGAAATAAGTCTTCAGGCGCTACCGCGAAGGATGTGCTGGGTTGTAGGTCTATGTAAGGGTTCAATATTGGCGAAGTAACTGGTAGCGTTACATTAATATTTTCTTCCTGATCCAATGTTGGTGGCGTAACTTGTAGAATAGATGGAGACTCTACTCTTTCAGGTGTCTCATTCTCATTATTAGCTTCATTTTGTTGTAGTTCCTGCTCAAGAAGAATGTTATCTGTTGTGTCTGCTGGCACAAAATCATAATCTTTGAATACGTGGCGATCCATTGGTTCTACCCCACATTTACGAAATCCATTGATTGCAATGGATTG